TGGGACATTATTGTAACTTTTTGGTGTCACATCCAACTCATACCAGGGGTGAAAAGGACAGGACCAGATCAATGAAGACACTGACTGTCTCTAGACCCCAGTGCCCAGTAGGGGCTCTGGTCACCGCCGGACTCCTGAGGCAGTCAGGCTGCAGAGAAGACACCGAAGAGCCGGGACAGTAAGGGAGTTAAAAACAGAAGACTGAGACTATGTGGGGTCCACTGTGAAGATCCCACATGTACACCCCAGGCTAGGTACACCACCCCTGTCAGCCACCCTCCCCCCCTTGGCTCTCACTGGGGATGGGCTATCAGCTACCAGACACTGCTCTTACTCTCCCCGCCCTGACATTTAGGGATGGGGAACTGAGGCTCTCAGGGGCAGTGGGACTTGGCCAAAGTCACACAGCAGATGGTAGGTGTGTCAGCTTTGAAGGCTACCAGCTCCGCCCCTTAGGGACTCTGGGAACAGCCTCCTTCACGTGACATTCTGCTGACTGCAAACCCAGTGATAACAGGCTGAAACTCCAGTTCTCCCAGGGAGGGAGGTAAAGCATTTCCCAAATCCTGCCCTCCAGTGCGGTGGCTTCTGTGACTATGAAGAAGCCGCCTGCTCTAGTCCTCCCTGACTCAGTTACCAGACCCTCACACACCAAGCTCCCAGGAATGCGTCTGAGAACCTGGCATCTTGGCTGGTAGCACAGGGCAAACTCCTACCCTCCATAAACCTTGGTTTCCAAAGCGGCCATGTATCCATGAACGGGGATCAAAAGCATGCAAATCTACCTGCCACATAGGCCAAGAGGATGCCGGTGACCACCATCAACTGCACACAGGAGCCGAGCAGACCTCGGATGGCTGGGTAGGCAATTTCCGAGATATAGACCTGTGGGGAGTTAAGAAGAGACTTCACTTGGGCTCTTCCAACAGAAGGGTCTAATTGTACTGCTTCAGAGCAACACCCCATCTTCTGCAGAGTTTTAAAGGATCATGGGTAATGGTGGCTGCTGTGTGTGAGCAAGGGGAGAGAGGAGTGTGCAGAACTTCCTTATTTTATTTTCCGAGATTGAGTTTCATGTAGCCCAGGCTAACCTCCAGTGAGCTGAGGATAACCATGAACTCCTGATCTTTATGTATTTAGCCCTGGGACTGCAGGCATGTGCCGCCAGGCCCAGCTCAGTACACACTTAATACACACAGATGTGAGTGAGAACAAACGACTGAAAGTCCGCCTAATTCTACCAGGGGCTGCCAGCACTTCTTTAACGCTCAGGGGTCACTAGGCATCATCCATACTTCTAGATTATTCCATACCTTATGCCCATGACTAACCTAGTTTAAAAAAGAAAGAAAAAAAAAACAGTCTACAGATCTACAGCTTCCCTCTCCTTCTGCTCCCTCACACCTCCCACAGGGGCAGAGACTGAGCATGTGGCCACAGAGGCGAGGAAGGGACGGGTGGCATGCAAGCCTGTGGCTGCAGGGTGCTGGTGATCTCAGTTACCAGGGTCCAGTTACTAGGGGCCATGCCTGGACCAGCAACTTCTTGTGCAAAGGGCTCACTACCACCTCAGGAATAAGCCTTAGTACATGGGGAGCGTACAGGCTCACAGAGGTGCCTGTGCCCAGGTAAAGGATCCCGGCGTGTGGGTCAGGGGCTGGCTGCAAGCAGTGAAGGGAGCGAGAAGTCTGTCCCAGGGACAAAAAGAATGGAACTGCTAACATGGAAACGGGGTATAGTCAGTCATAACTGCTAAGCATACAGGGATTTCATCATTTGTGCAGTAAAAGAGGCGCAACTAAGGGCAATGCTGACGGTGAGGAACAGCTCCACTGCTGACTCGCTGCCCCCTGCCTGGCAAAGTTCATCTAGAAAGCCCAAACCACTCACCGGTGCCACGAGGGAGGCGACTCCGCAAGCCAGGCCAGTGAGGAGGCGGCCTCCGAGCAGCATCCACACGTTCCGGGCGGCGGTGATGACGGCAAAGCCGGTCACGAAGGGCACGGTGCAGAGCAGGAGGCTCAGCTTGCGCCCCGCTCGGTCCACGAGCCAGCCGCCCAGTACGCCCCCTGCTGCAGCGCCCAGGGTCACGATGGCCTGGGGACCCGGACGGGCTAAGGAGGAGGCCACCAGGGGCCATGGTCCACGATCCCTCCACCCCACGCCCCGCAGCCTCAGAAGAAAGAGAATGAGGAGGACCCTGGGGTGCGGCAGAGAGTAGGGGACCCGGGGCTCACCCCGAACCAGGAGGCCGCATCGTCTCCGAGGCGCAAGGCTGGGGGCGCAGTGCGCTGCAGGCTGGGGATGGCGGGGGAGCTGTAGCCGAGCGCGTAGCCGAAGCTGAGCGGGCCCAGGGCGGCGGCGAAGGCGGCGAGGAAGACCCGGCGGCCGCGGGGAACGCTGCGGGTACAAGGCGGGGCGTGAGCGGCGCCGCGGGGCGTGAGGGAGAGGCCGCAGACCCCCGGGGTCCGCACCTGGCGTCCGGCGGCCGCAAGAGCGGCAGCGTCTCCTCGGGGTCCTCGGGCGACATGCCGGCGGCAGCAGATCACCCCCGAACTGTCGCAGCTCGGGCGAGCGCGGCCTCGGCGGCAGGCGGGGCCAATAGCGCCAGGACCCGCCCCCAGCCAGATCTGACCAATAGAAGTACAGAGCCGGTTGCACCGCTGACTGGACCCGAATTACGCCCCCGCAGCCCAGGTACGGGTTGGGGAGCTTGTTGGCAAGATTGTCCAATTGGATTGTGGGATGAGTCTGGAGGCGTGGCCAGCAGTAGGACTGAGCTAGCCAATGAAGATGGAGAAGATTGTTTGGGTGTTTTAGAAGTTTATTCCTACGTCTATCACGGGCGGAGGTGACAGCGCGCCTGTGCAGGTCAGAAGTCAACTTGGTTTTCTTCCACCACGTGGATTAGGTCGTTGGGATCGAACTGATGTCGTTAGGCTTGGGGGCAAGCATCTTTACCAGCAGGCCCATGTTTTGATGGTTTCATTTGTTTTTATCCTTTAATTTTAGACTTTTTTTTTTTTTTTTTTTTTTTTTTTTTTTTTTTTTGGTCCTTCGAGACGGAATTTCTCTGTTTAACGGTCTTGGTCCTGGAACTCCCTCTGTAGACCAGGCTGGCCTTTGCCTCCCAAGTGCTGGGATTAAAGGTGCACCACCACTTCCCGGCCTATTTTAAACATCTTTATTTGTGTGTTTTGCTTACATGTATAATGCGTGCCCCGCGCGTGCCTGGTGCTTCCGGTGGTTAGAAGGCGGCATCGGATCCTCTGAAACTGGAGTTGCAGATTGTTGTGAGCCACCACGTACAGGTGTGCTTGGAACCTGGATCTGAGTTCCTAAGTGTTGAGCTGTACCCTCCAGATCTATGGTTTTACTATTTATTTATTTATGGAGTTGTCTCTCAAGCTAATCTCTACTAATGAGGGTAGTAGTGGGTCAAAGGTGGAGCACATGGGCTGGGCAAGACTTCCCACCCTTACAACAGAACAGTTCCCTGAAGCATGGTCAGCCATTCTTCCCCAGCCTTGACAAAGAGCCTCGGGGTGAAAAGTCCCCAAACAGACCTTCTTAGGCCACCTGTCACTCTCCTTGGACTTTCTGAGACTAACCTGGTGCTTCTGGGGGCAGCTCACCTGCATCAGGAGTGCTGCAAAGCCTAGGGCCCCCGAGATGTTGAGGACCCTCTCCAGAGGTGGGATGGGGTGGAGCTTAGTGGTTTCCTGTTCCCTGGTTGCCCCACAGATAATCCCAAGCCTTGAATCTGTCTTTCTTCCTCCCCAAGTCTCCCTGTGATTGTGTGTACCACTGCTCTCGGCTCAGTTGCTACCCACAACTTTGTGGGCAGGCGGTATCAGTGGCTTATACATGTAATTCCGGAGAGAACCAGTGGGAGGCGCCTAGGCCCTCCCTGGGCCAAGAGTCCTCTCTGAGGGAGAGCTGGGAGTGGTGGTGCCTGTCTAACTTCAGCACTGAGGTACAGACAAGTTAGTCACCCAGCTTAGCTTAACTAGTGAGCCCCACAGATCCTAACAAGACCCTGTCTCAAGAAACCCAGTGCGTGGCTCCTGAGGAACAGCCGAAGCTGACCTCCAGCCTCCACGTGGGAACCCCCAAGAAAAGCCAGAATAAACCTAATAAAACTGTTGGTGGGGTTGAGATGTAGCACCAAGTTTGCCTCTACAGCTAAAGAGGATTCACATGGGCGCCTTTGGTTCCGGGTATCACACGGAATTGTTGTGCAGGAGAGGGAGGGGAGGCGAGTCCTCCTTATGGCCTGCAAGGAGGAAGGTGCCAGGGTTCTAACCTCTGACACCATGACGTCAGAACTCCTTGGAGCTGCTTCCCCTCAGGCAGACGATGGAGTTTCTTCCCATGGGCCCTGTGACCTGTGACACAGGACTGCTATTTCAGTATTTCATTCGTGTCCTGCTCTGTCCGTATTACTTCCTGCTCAATCTTCAGGAGGGAGCTGGGGTGGGCATCTTAAAAATCAGATTTATTTGTTTTATAAGTGTTTTACATGCATGTATGTGCACCATGTGTGTGTCTCCTACCCTTGGAGATCAGAAGAGGGCTTCGGACCCTCTGGGACTGTAGTTAGAAATGGCTGTGAGACACCATGTGGGTGCTGGGAATCAAACCACGAAGCCATTTCCCCAGCTCTCCGCCTCTTTATCTCCATGTTCTGAAGGATGAGAGAGCAAGGCAGGGGCTGAGACATGGCTCAGCAGCTGAGCCTGTTTGCCAAGTATGTGTAAAGCCCTGGGGTCCATACCCAACACTGCAAAACAAAACAAAAAAGGTGGACCCACTCAAGGGAGGGAATCTGAAAACTCTTGATCACAGTTGCGAGATGAATGTATCCTAAGACTTTGTGGTGCCTTTGCCTTACTACTATTTGAGATCAAAGGAGGAGGAAGCGTCTCCATCTGTCCCAGGTCTCCAGGCAGGAGTGCAGGGGCCCCACCCCAGTGAACACAGGCAGCAACAGGGCCAAGTGCAGAAAGAAAACTTATTTATAGTAGAATTAAAAAGCAGCATCTTTTCTTCATAAAAGAAGCATAGTATGTGACATAAGTCAAAACTTACAAAAAATAATTTCCATCTAAATCTATAAAATATAAGAGAAAGGTTGCAGTGAATAAGAATGAACATTTTTGATTTATTCAAAGTTTTGATCTAAAACTTCAATGAAATCTACCACCTTTATTACAAGGGTACTGACGGTTCTTGAATGGAAAGAAATGGGAGTCAAGAAAGATGGCATTGGACACTGGAGAGTGACCCGAACTGGCTGAGGGTGCAGGAGGTTTGGTCCAATAGATTGCTGCCTGGCTGGAGGCGCATTTTGTTGAGACAGGTTGTTGGAGCTGTTTAAACAGTATAAACCTGCGTAAGAACACTAAGGGTTGCCACGGAGACACAGACTCTACTTCAAATCAATAATGTCTTCCTCTGAGGAGGCCATGAGCTGGAAGGGGCTGCTGCCTGAGCCTGAGCTGCCCTCTTTGTCCACCGCAGGGTCCTGGTCAGCGCTTGCTGAGTGGTTACGGCCCTCAGCATTGGCTTCAGAAGCAGGAGGACTTTCCAAAATTCCCGACGGGATCCTGCAAGAGAGAAGCACTGTGAAGGGCTCTGCGGGCAGGATGTAACATGGCATGGTTGCTTGCTGCCTCCTGTCCTTCTGGGTTCAGTGTATCTAGCACGGGATGAGAGGAGGAAGGAGAAGAAAGGTTTCACTTCTCACTCAGTTTGGGATTCCACAAATGCCCAGGGCCTTGGAAAGCACCTGGCCCTGCTCTGCCCACTTAACCTCCAGCAGCCTCCCTAACACTTGGTCAAGTCTGTCCCTCTTGCCTGCGTCTCTGGCCACGCTGCCTGCTCAGAGCAACTGCCCAGAGTCCCTGTATCATAGGCACTGCTCCCCATTCTTTCTTTGTCCTCTTTGGTTTTCGAGACAAGGTTTCTCTGTGTAGCCCTGTTCTTCCTGAAACTCACTCTGTGGACCAGGCTGGCCTGGAACTCACAGAGATCTGCCTGTCTGCCTTCTGAGTGCTGGGATTAAAGGCACGTGCCACCACTGCCTGGCTGTTCCAACATTCTTATCATTCATCCCAAGCCAGCCCTACACTGGACTCTTCTTTGAGCTATCAATGTGGGCTTCTACCTGCCATTTTATCATTTATTATTATTGCTGGTTTTTTTTTTAAGATTCATTTTGCCAGTTGGTGGTGCACACATTTAATCCTAGCACTCAGGAGACAGAGCCATGCAAATCTCTGTGAGTTCGAGGCCAACTTGGTCTACAGAATGAGTTCCAGGATAATCAGGGTGGTTACAGAGAAACCCTGTCTTAAAATCAATCAATCAATCAATCAATCAATCAAATAAACAAAAACAAAAATCTAAAAAACCCAGATTTTGTTTTAGGAATATAGATATGGATGCTCTGTCTGGAGGTATGTTTGTGCACTATGCATCCCTGTGCTCTCAGAGGCTAGAAAAGGGTATTAGATTTCTAGAACTGGAGTTACAGATGATACAGATGATTGTGAGCCACCATGTGGGTACTGGGAATTGAACCTGGGTCCTCTGGAAGGTCAAACAATGAATACTCTCAACTGCGGAGCTGTTTTTCCAGCCCTAGCCCTTTATATTATTATTGTGAGGCAGGGTCAGGCTGGCCTTGAACTTACAGTGACTCTCCTGTCTCTATTCCAAACCTGAACCATCATGCCTAGGCACTTAAGGTTTTTTTTTTAAAATAATTTATTTTTATTTTATGGGTATTGGTATTTTTCCTGTATGTATGTCTGTGTGAGGTGTTGGGTCCTGGAGTCACAGACAATTGTGAGCTGCCATGTGGGTCCCCTGGAAGAGTAGTCAGTGTTCTTAAACGTGATCCATCTCTCCAGTCCCTTATTTTTATGTTTGATATTTTGAGCAGAGCCTCATTTTGTAGCTCTGGCTGGCCTGGAACTCATTATGTAGACTAAACTGGCCTTGAACTTGGAGATCTGCTTTTGTCCTCATGAGTGGTAGGATTTAAAGCATATGCCACCATGCTGACTATCTTTTTTTTAAAAAATTATTTAATGTTCATTTTATGTACATAATTGTTTACATGCATGTATGTCTGTGTCTGGTGTGTCTGGCAACCTTTGAGTGCCTGGCGCCCACTGAGGTCAGAAGGCATTGGATCTCCTGAAACTGGGGTTACATATGGCTGTGACTGGCCATGTGGGTGCTGGAGCTTGAGCAGCCAGTGTTCTCCATCCTCTTAACCTCACAGCACACCGTGGTTGGTTGAGATGAACTGTGTTAGTTAGATCTGGTTCTCCATGTGAGGCCAAAGCATGAGTAAGGCTGGCTCTTCCCCACCGCAGGCTCTGAGACCTTCTGCTCAGGAGGCAGGACACTTGTCACTGCCTGCATCACCTGCCACTATGCCATGCAGCAATGGCTTGGTGCTTAATGGCCTATGGGCCCTCTGAAGATACAGACAGGGGCTTGGTCATCTCCCTGTCCCCCCAGCTTGAGTACGCTTGAACAGGTGTTCATTGCTCCCCAGAAGGGCACCTGCACCATTGCTGAAGGGACACCCCGCTGTGAGGCAACACGCATCTATTCCTAAGTGCTAAACTGCCATTCAGAAGGGCTCTTCCTGTATACGTATACAGGGTCCACCAGTTCTGGAAAGTGGCTGACCCTACACTCTTACTAAGCAACCTTTTTTTTGTGTATCTTCATCAAACTAGTGAGCCAAAAATAGTCTCTTAGGAGAGAGATCAATGGGAGTAGGAGGGGGACAAGAGTAACTGGGGTCTGTGTGTGTGACAGAGACCATGGTTAAAATACATTATATACATGTTAACAGTTTCTCTCGAGGGCTGGGTGTGGTGGTGCATGGGCTTTAATCCCAGCATTCGGAAGCAGGCAGGTGGATCTCTGAGTCTGAGGACAGCCTGGTCTACATGATGAGTTCTAGGTTAGCCAGGGCTCCATAGTGAACTTCCGTCTAAAACAGAGTGTCTTTCTCTGTTGTTTCTGTCTCATGCATGTGCGTGTATGTGCTGTGTGTACACTCTGTGCATGTTGGGCAAGGCTCCAGATGACTGCCTCAAGCCCCTTTGAATATATTTTAGTGAACATTAGCTCAGTTGCTGGTGACAGTGTCCTCTTGTCTCAGCCCCACTGTGGCAGCTGTCCTCTCTGGGACTGTGTAGGGTGCTGGCCAGTGAACCTCCTGGGCACGCTGGCACTCACTGGGCGACCATGCAGATCAGGGGCTTCTTTTTACCTGTCACTGCTAGCTGACCTCACAGCCTCTGGCTTGGGGTCTCCTTGACTTTCTTCTAACCGCTTCCGGGTTTTTGATTTGGCCCTTGGCGCTCCTTCTGATCGTGGTCCACTGTCATCAGAAAGACCTGCATGACAGGGGAAAACCTGAGGTCAGGGGCCATTACCACAGGGGACAGAAGATGCCTTGTCTGTCTGTCTATCTATCTAGATATCTATCTATCTATCTATCTATCTATCTATCTATCTATCTATCTATCTAAGATTTATGTATTTATTATGTCTACAGTGTACTGCCTGCATGTCAGAAAAGGGTATCAAATCTTGTTGTAGATGGTTGTGAGCCACCATGTGGTTGCTGGGAATTGAACTCAGGACCTCTGGAAGAGCATTCAGTGCTCTTAACCTCTGAGCCATCTCTCCAGCCCACCTTTTTTATTCTTTAAGAATGTAGTTCTCTGAGAATCTCACACAGGCGTACAATGTGCTTAGATCAAATCTACCTGCTCCCCATCGGTTTCCTGCCCTTTATCCTTACTGGAACATTATTCGACTTGGACACAGCAGCGATGACAGATACATCAGAACAGTTTCCCCTTCCTGAAGTCTTTCCTCTCTGATTATAAAGTATGTATAGGGCTGGAGAGATGGCTCAGTGGTTAAGAGCACTGCCTGCTCTTCCAGAGGTCCTGAGTTCAATTCCCGGCAACCACATGGTGGCTCACAACCATCTGTAAAGAGGTCTGGTGCCCTCTTTACATGCACACAGACAGAATATTGTATACATAATAAATAAATAAATAAAAAAAATAAAGTATGTATACACCGTGACTCAAACGCACAATCTCAGAGAAGTCTAACAGTGGCAAAGTCCCTAAAGTCCTACAGTGTTCTCATAAGCTCCTGTCCCCTCCCCCACTTTAGCATGGCTTGGTTAGCTTTCTGTCCATCATTGGTGGAAAATGGTTCAAAATTCTCTGGGGTAGTTGTAATTGATGAATTTATAAATCTCTTCTGAAAGGGAGTTCCTTTAATTTTTTTATTACATTTATTTGTGTTGTGTGTATATGAGTATTTGTGTGCGTGTGTGTGCATGCGTAAGTGCATGCATGCATGTGTGTAGATGAGAGAACAACTTGAGGAAGTTAGTTCTCGCCTTCAACCATGTATGTCCTGGGGCTCGAACTCAGGTCGGCAAGCTTGACAGCAAGTGCTTGTACCCTCCGAGCCATCTTGCTGGCCCCAAATTTCCAGGTTTTGAAAATGAGAGCTCCCTGAAGACGAGCCCCCGCTGGTCTGCTTACAAGCTGTGGAAACAACCCACGGCAGCTGTGATTACCTAGAAGTTCCCTGCGGGTCCTGCTTGCTATTTCTTTAATTTCCATGCGAGACAGGGACAAGGAGTGGGTGACAGGGATGGCAGCGATGCCAAGGCCGATGGAGGTGGGCGGGGTGATGACCTTGGAGACTAAGGGCGATTTCAGAGGCCGCTCGATGCTTCTGCCCACGAGGTTTCTAAGTGGAATGCGGTACAGATTTTTAGACTGAATTTCACCTGAAACACAGTTTGGAAAAGACCAGAACTTTAGGGTCATGTCATTTACAACAGAACAATTTCTTTCTTTAAAAGTTTTAAACTACATTTATCAGGCGTGTGTCCATGTGTCCATGTGTGGAGGTCAGGGAACAACTTGTAGGGCTCAGTGCTTTCCTTCCAGCAGCAGACACAGGGGTCACACTCAGGGCAGCAGGCCTGAGGGCAACTGCCTTTACCCACTGAGCCATCCTGCTGGCCTGGACATAATTTCTTGTACTTTAATATAATTATGTAATATAATTAGCAGGAAGCAAGGCTTTCTGTCACGTGCTGATGATGCCTAATGGCTCTGTGTTTCCCAAGGGCTTTCTTTCTTTTGAATGATTCTGATAAAATGCAGTTGCTTCTTCCAGAATAAAAGCAGATAAGGGGAGCGAGGAGCTGCCTGTGTGGTGATAAAGATGACTGCTGCAGCCAGCAGCTAGGAGCAATGCTGTCCTAGGCCCTGCAGGAGCGTGGCAAAGGCCTCTGGGAGCAAAGTGAGAGTCTCTCTGGGCTGCAGGTTTAGCTGTGAAACCCACGGCACTGCCAACCCCAAAGGAGATGCTGCTGGCTGTGCTCTGGCGTATCTCCCTTTGCCCCACGGAAATTTACATAATGGGATTTCTCCTAATTGTTTGTATGGTGTGTGTGTGTACATATGTATATGGAGACCAGAGGTGTAAATCACGTAGGTTTTCAACTTACTTTTTGAAATAAAGCTTTGCACCGAGCCTGGAACTTGCTAGACTAGCTAATCAGCATACCCCAGGGATCCCCTTGACCCAGCTTTGGGTTTATGAGTATGTACCACTGTGCCTGACTTCTCATGTTGGTGCTTGAGATCAAAAGTCAGGTCTTTATTTTACTGAATGAGCCATCTATTCAGTCCAATTTGTCTTACTTTTATTTTTTAAAACTTTAATTTATAATAATAATAGTTATTATTATTATTTTGAGACAGAGTTTCTCTGTATAGCCCTGACTGTCCTGGAACTCAATATAGAGACCAAGCTGGCCTTGAACTCACAGAGATTCACCTGCCTCTGCCTCTTGAGTACTAGGATTAAAGATGTACACCACCATGTCTGGCTTTTATTATTATCTTAATATAAGGTTTCGTAAGAATTTTACCAGTTCAAAGAACAAAGTCTACTTATTGGTTTGTTTTTGAGACAGGTCTCGTCACCTAGTCCTGAATGTGGGCTCCTCTGTCTCACCCAGCCTCACAAGTGTTGGGCACACAGCCAAGAGAGTTCTTTGTCACTGGCTTTAAATAGTGACAACTCGGGGCTGGAGAGATGGCTCAGTGGTTAAGAGCATTGCCTGCTCTTCCAAAGGTCCTGAGTTCAATTCCCGGCAACCACATGGTGGCTCAGATCCATCTGTAAAGAGGTCTGGTGCCCTCTTCTGGCTGCAGACATGCACACAGACAGAATATTGTATACATAATAAATAAATAAATATTAAAAAAAATAGTGACAACTCTGACAACTACTTCTCCTCCTCTCTTGGTCTTCTTTGTCGTGGATATTTGATATTGCTGTGACACTCCAAGGCCATCAACAAAGTTAACCTTGAATCAGAGCGTGCAGTCAAAAACTGACTGGAATTAGCCATAGAGATTTCGGAGGACCCAGGATGCAAGAACATAGAGAGGCACAGGAAAGAGTAGGGAGGGCTTAGAAAGATCCATGGGCTTTTTCTATCTGGGAAGCGTGGAGAAAGAGGGTCAGCTGGTTGTTCCTTCGCTGCTTTTTTGATCTATCAGGTTCCTACTCCACTACCTGATTCCCGAGATCTTATTAACAATAGAACAATTTAGACAAAGGCTTCACTTCTTCATTTCTGATGTTTTTGAGGCATTGAATCTCCACATAGCCCTGGCTGTCCTGAAACTTACTATGGAGATCCACCTGCCTCTGGGGTTAAAGGCGTGTGGCATTTATATATAGCATATATATATGCCCAACCTGAACAGTAACTTCTTTAGCAGTGATCATGTCCAGCTCTGACCGTAAGCCAGGGAAATCATGAGCTAGAGTATCTATTAATAAGGCAGTAGGAGTTGGACTTCACCTTCCCCCGGGGAAGAAGGAAACAGCAGCGTGTCCCGGGCCGGAGGGGTCTGAGGAGACGTGTGGGCACTGGCGCCCTTGGAGCTGCCTGCAGACGAGCCCTCGTGCACAGTCGCGGCTGCTGTGAAGTATATGTCCGACTGCAAAGAAAGAAGAAACATTACTGGCTGCCTGGTCTTCCAGGCTCTGCTCCCACTGACCTTCTGGTTCCCAGGCTCGGCAGTGACCTCTGACCTCTGCGGAGCACACGGTGCAGACCTGGGTCTCATCCGGCTAGACCTCTCCCGAGGATTTACTTCCCTTCTCCCTGCACGGGCTACACTAGAAAACAGTCACGTGCACACATCTGCAAGCCCAACACAGCGCACGCCCTTCTCTCAGGAGTCTCAGAACTGGGATGGACCCTGCACGGACTACACTAGAACACAGTCACGTGCACACATCTGCAAGCCCACACAATGCACACGCTTCTCTCAGGAGTCTCAGAACTGGGATGGACCCCGGGAATTCGGTCAGGTGCATTCTGCAGGGGGAAATATGGATGTTTGTCTCAGAGTCTCCAGCATGCCCACATGTGCTGACTTTGGCAACAGCAGCAGTGGGACATTACATGTGTTTCTGAGAGCCAACTTTCAGGAATTTTGCAAGCCAGATCTTAAACGTGGCCACCATTAAACACTAAGAGGTATAGATTTAGCTTTGTGTGTGGTACTGATCCACACGTGTATGGCACATCCGTGCCCCTGCATGGAGGTCAAAGGAGGAGGTGTCCTGCTTTATCACTGTCCACCTTCTTATTTAAGGCGGGGTCTCTCACTGAACCCTGAGTGCCCCAGCAATCCTCCTGTCTCTGCCCCTCACAGCACTGGGCCTCCAGACATGCAAGTGAACACACCCAGGTTTTTACATGGGTTGGAGAGATTTGAACCCAGCTCCTCATCTTGTTCTGTTAGCACTTTTAACTGCTGAGCTGTCTCTCCAGGCCAAATGGTATAAACGTAAATATGTTAGAGGCAAAGATTCTCAACATTATTTGGCTACATTTACTATTATTTTGGAGCTCCTACTGGGCTCCTCCTAACTCTTGTGTCAGCCACATTAAGTGGATGGATTCACAGACATTGGTGAGTGCTCCCAGTGAGAGCCTGGGTAACAGTGTGTGGAGTCTAGGGATGCAGCTGGAGTAAGTTCTGGTTTAAGAGGTATGATTTGTTTCTGGTGAGAAGTATTTCAAAACTTCTGCTTTTGAGTCAAAGTCTTACTTTGTATCCCAGGCTATCCCGGAAATCCCTTGTAGTTCAGACTGGCTTCGAATGCATAGCAATCCTACTGATGGCCTTACCAGTGCTGAGCTTACAGATATGAGCAAACGCCCAGCTACATGACAGGTTTCTTGATATAGCCCACTGGAATGATAATGAGTAGACTGAGGTAGGACTCCAGCATAGGTGGAGTTGAACCTGTAGTCTGGGTATGAGGCGGGTCTCAGCAAACATTAAAAAGCATATTTGTGAGAACCCCATGAGCACTTAGTTCTCACTCCGCTCTCTCCACAAGGCAGGGAGCATTTGTGGTGGTGGCTCTGTGCTTCTTTACATGTTGCAAGGACTGGACGGAGGCTGTCAGGTCAGCACAGCAAGTGCTTTACACGCTGAGCCAGCGCACTAGCCTCAAGGGAGCATCTGGAAGCATGAGGAGGGCAGACATGAAAACCCACCTCCCTCCTGGTGTTCTGACCCAGGACAGCTGTCCTGGCGTGATAAACAGCGTGATAAACAGTTCCTGCTCACTTGACACCTCGGGGTGCTAAGGCTGCAGCACTGCATTCCACTCACCCTGGAGGCCACAAGCTGCAGCTGCGGCACAACTGCCGTGTGGACCAGGTTCCCATTCACCACCAGGCGGATCTCCATGGAGTCGGTGGTGAAGGCCAGCAGGTACGGGAAGGCGCAGACTGCAAGGGAACAGATGGGCTGTTGGCTAGGAGGCTGCAACTGCTCAGGCGTCTGTACACTCTCGAAACGTCCATCCTTTCTACTCTTGTCTGCTTCACATGGCCAGGCCTGCCTCTCAGGTGTACATGCCAGCCAGTTGTCATGGCTACGTCCCTGCCTGATGCCCTACTGCCTGGTTTTCTGGTGGCTCAGCTACCCAGTCCTGTGGGACTTTCCCCACATTCTCTGGATTACAGCTTGACAGCCTTCAGCACGTGACAGCTGTCTGGAATCTTTCCTTTACTCTTCCTTCCCGGCTTAGACTGTCACCCCTTCCTGCACCCCTCTGGCCTCGTGTCACAGGCAGTAGCTGTGCCCTTCAAAGCTGCTGAACTTGGATGCTCTCTTCTCTGTTGCAGGTGGCACATCTCCTCGCAATGCTGTTATGACATGCTGACGTCACACACCACAGCTAAGCTCTGATTACACCTGTGTAAGTGGACTTGACTGGTCCTTCTCTCCCTCAGTACTCTGCACAGGTGACCTGTCCACTCTGGGGGGTGTCCTTGGCAACTCATTCTGCTACCTGATGCCTCTTGTCCTGATTTCTCCGGTGCTTGGCTCAAAGCCCAGAGTCAATTTCCATTCCTCTTTTCGGCCCATCTCACCTGCCATCACAGCCTGACCAGGTATCAGGGTTTCTCTGTGTAGCAGCCCTAGGTGTCCTACAAGAACTAGCTCTTGTAGACCAGGCTGGCCTCTGCCTCCCAAGTGCTGGGACTGGGATTAAAGGTATGTGCCACCACCACCTGTTTTTTTTTTTTTGACAGGATTTCTCTGTGTAGCCCTGGCTGTCCTGGAACTCAGAGCTCTGCCTGCCTCTGCCTCCTGAGTGCTGGGATTACTGGCATGCACCACCACCACCCGGCTTTGATTTACCTTTTAAAATTCCATTTTAATGTGTCTGTGGCAGTGGGCGGGGTGCATGTGTGGAGGTCAGAGGTCAGCTTGTGGGAGTCGTTCTCTCCTTCTAACATGCAGGTCTGGGCCATGGGAATGCAGGCCCTCAGACTTTCAGCAGTGTCTCTGCCAGGTAAGCCATCATGCCAGCCCCACACTGACATCTTAGTGGTAGGTATTTTGCTGAGCCCTGAGGTTCTGGACTTTCAGTTCTAAGGCAGGTAAGAGTAGCACTGTGATGCTCCCCGAGCCAGCCGATGCACTGGCTGGAGCTAGCGCGTGAGTTTTAGCAAAGGCCTGCCAGGTACTGACAAACTGTGTTTAATTGCTTTCAAACGTCATGTGCCCAGGAACTCAGGAGAGCCAGAGGGACATAAGAGTCTAAACAGGGGGCATAAACATCACTCCACTGCAGATATCTGCAGAATGTTCAAGCCCTAGGAGGTGTGGCAGTTATGGAGGAAGTCCAAGCAGCTCACTGGAGACCGAGCCCTGCGGGTGGTCAGGCAGGGGCAGGGACCACAGAAAAGGTTGCTCTTACCAATTGCATAAGGAGCTTGGTTCCAACAGAACTGGAAATCCGATGCCGAGGGTTGAAGCAAAAAAGAGCCACCATTAAAGGGGCAAACCTTCTTATAGATGCAACTGTCTGGAAAGAGAACAACAGCAATGTGTTCCGTTAGAGGCGACACCTCCATCCCTGCAGTCAGACAAACAGAAAGCAGGCTGCTAGGGCTGCATCCTCCCCGCTGGGTCTCTGGACCCAGGCTGGACTTGAGTTTGCAGCAATGCTCTTGCCTCAGCCTCCCTTGTGCTGGAATCATAGGCGTTAGTCACACACCTGGTTCTCTCTGCCAGCTCATCTAAACAGCCACTGCCAACCTTGAGAGGCAGTGACAGCAAGCGTAACGCTGTTACCATGTATGCTAACAGCTGCCACCTGGAGAAAATTTACTGCGTGTCAAGCATGGAGCTTTGAGAAGACTGTCCATTTAATCCGTCTGGCTGCAGAAGGTAGAAGCTGTCACCCTGCAAGCACACTCTGCAGAGAACTTGAGGTTGGGAGCGGTGAGGTGGTCCTGAGTCCCACAGCTCTACCAGGGCGGAGTGGTGGAGTGAGGCCAGGCTGGGCTACGGTGCTCATGTGCTTCCTGCCTGTGCCATATCGTCATGCCAGAGAAAGACGCAGAATGGGTAGCCCATGGGTGAACGAAGCCTTTCTACAAGGCAGGTCGCTCTGAAGCCTCCCTCACTACAACAACGGCAGGAATTGCATGTGTCCTCTGTGATGGCTGTTCTTGGTTGTTAACTTGACTACATCGGGAATTAACTAAAACCCAAATGACTGGGCACACCTGTGAGACACTTTGCTTAATCATTTGAAGTGGGAAGATAAGCTTCTAACTGGTTTTGAGGTGGGAAGACAAATCTCTAATCTGGGCCACACCTTCTGCTGGCAGCCTCTGTAAGGACACGGGAGAAAGAAGCTCTCTTTGCCTGTCGGCCCTCACTAACAAGCCCATTCCTTCACTGGCATTAGAGCCTGCTTCTTTGAGATTCAAGCCTATACTGAAGACCAGCTGAGACATCCAGCCTCAGACTGAACAGCTACTGGATTCTTGGACCTTCCATTCATAGACATCCATTGTTGGATCAGCTGGACCACAGCCTTTATCCATTCTAATAAATTCCCTTTATATGGACACTAAATTATATATATATATATATAGTATAAATAATGTATGATATACATGTATAATACATAATAGATGTGTGTGTGTGTGTGTGTTTGAGAGAGAGAGAGAGAGAGAGAGAGAGGGATCCATTCTCTAAGTTCTGTTACTCTGGAGCACCCTGCTAACATGTTGCTAGAGAACCTGGACCATGTGTGTCCCCCTTACTGAACTTCAGCTATGTTAAGGACGGTTTAATTCAGCTACCTGCCTCTTGTCTATTCTGACCTCTGAACATCAGTGTATGTGGCTCAGACCTTCAGAGTAAGGAGGCTTTTGTAGAAACAAAGTCCCCTTTCATTATAGAAGCTGTTTTTGCCTTCCCCCACACTTTTTAGGTAATGATGCTAACAACTATGTTAGACAGGGTCCCAGCCTGGCCCGGACCGTATAATCCTCTTGACTCACGCTGTTGAGTGTGGCACCACAAGCCTGTGCTATCACACCTGTCTTGAAATTATTTCACTCATATGTGTCCCTTTTAGGGTCCCCCTTTTTATCTAGCATCCCTGGGATTGTAGTTTAGTTATCCTTTGCTTTACATCCAGTATCCACTTATGAGTGAAGACATACCATGTTTGTCTTTCTGGGTCTGGGTTACCTCACTCAGGATGGATTTTTCTAGTTCTATCCATTTGCTGTATTTTAAGACATCATTGTTTGTTTGTTTGTTTTTAAACCACTGAGAGATACTCCATTGTGTAAATGCACCACATTTTCTTTATACAATCTTCAGTTGATGGGCATCTAGGTTGTCTCCCGGTTCTGGCTGTTACAAATAGTGCTGCTATGAACATAGTTGAGCAAGTGTCCTTATTGTATGATTGTTCATCCTTTGGGTATATGCCCAAGAGTGGTATTGTTGGGTCTTGAGGTAGACTGATTCCCCAGGAAGGAAAATAATTAAGATCTCCAGGATAAAATGGGAGCGGGGTGGGGGTGGGGTAGAAGGAAGGAGATGGGGGATGGGATTACCACATCCACGGCTGTCTCGCCTGTGTAACAAAATGCTTCTCAGGTAGTGGCCGTCTCAAAATGAGGGGCTCGTGCTTCTTGGAGCGTGGCCCCTGGCTGTTCCCTGGCAGTCTGCTCGAGTTGAGGTGCCTAATTAGCCTCAATGACCTCGTTCACTTTGTTCCTGGCGATGGTTTCTTGCATTGACTGCTATCCTTTCTTCTGTTCTGTTTTTCTCTTGACAAAAACTTAATCTGTTCAGGGAACCAGGAAACATTTCCAACGGCTCCTTGAATACGGAGGAACTGATGCGTCAGTTCCCTCCCTTGATTCAGGCCATTAATGTTATGATTAAGACTCTGGCTCACTCTCTGGGGGAATTTACAGATACCCTAAAACAGAAAGAGCTCATGATAGGAGATTTGGTAGAAGATGGGCAAATTATGAAGGAAAATGTATGGAATGGCATGAATTACCATTTATGGAAAGGCTAGCCAGAATGAGAAACCCCTGGTGCATTTTAGATAGGAAAGAAAGGCAAGATATTCTTGATAACATGAAGTCAGACATTCAATATTGAAACAAACCCTGGGGGTGGAATCCTGAAGAATGGTGTTTGGGTTACCTTGGTTACCTTGAGGGCAGATATGATTTAGGGCCATGAGAAAGCACAGTTAGTTAGTGGTATGAGACAAATTTCTAAGAAAAGCTCTGCCCACCTGGCCCTGACCACAAGACTTGTTAAGAATTATTAATTATCTGTAATCATTTTTCTATGGAAACTTTTATATCTGCCAACTTCCTTCTGTAATCTCTTAAAAGTGATGCTAGAATTTTAGTAAAGTTGTAGCAGATTCAAATCTCATTAGAGTTGTGTCTGTCTGTCATTCGCTGAATCCTGGGTTCTCCTAAGCCTTCACCCCTGTTCTCCCTCGGTCTTCGGTCTCCAAGAGAGTCAGTCCATGGCATGGGATCTCGAGGGATCAAGAAGACCGAGTTGGTGGAGGGGCAGAGGGGGAGAGCTAAGACCCCTACCAACAGTGGAGAGGGTGTCTGAACAGGCCTTCCCCTGTAATCAGATGAGTGACTATCCTAACTGTCATCACAGAACCTACATCTGGTAATGATGGAAGCAGATGCAGGGACCCACAGCCAAGCAGCTGGAGTTCAGTTGAAGAGAGGAAGGAGGGGTCATATGAACAAAGGGGGGGGGCATGAGCATTATGGGGAAACCACAGAAATAGCTGACCCAAGTTAATGGGAGCTCACATACTATGGACTGACAGCTGAGGAACCAGCATGGGACCATGGGACCTAACTAGACCCTCTGAATGTGGGTGACAGTTATGTAGCTTGATCTGTTGGGGGTGGCCCTGGAAATGGCACCAGGACCTATCCCAGGTGCATGAACTGGCTTTTTGGAGCCCATTCCCTATTGAGGGATACGTTGTTCAACCCTGATATGGCAGGGAGGGGCTTGGTCCTACCTCAAGTTGGTATGCCAGATCTTGTTGACTCCCCAAGGAAGGCCTTACCCTTTCTGAGTGGATGGGGGATGGGAAGGGGAATGGGGGGATGGGAGAAGAGGAGGGAGGGGGAACTGGGGTTGGTATGTAAAATGAAAGGTTTTTAACAAAAATATGAAAAAAAATTTACTCAAAATTTTATTTATTTATTTATTTTTATTTTATGTGTATTAGTGTTTTGTCTGCATACATGTCCGTGGACCACATGTGTGCCTGGTGCCTGTAGAAGCCAGAAGAGGTCACTAAATCTCCTTAAACTGCAGTTATTCTGAGCCACCATATGGGTGCTGGGAACGGGATCTAGGTCCTCTACAAAAACTGTCTGTGCTCTTAACTACTTAACCATCTCTCCAGTCTGTTTTCAGGTTTCCTGGGGGGTGGGGTAGGGAGGGCCAGTTCTTTCCCCATAGATTTTTCAAAATAAAGCCACAGGCCCACAGTCTTGAGAGTCATTGTTTTGAGGAATTCTTAGGCTCAACCTTGTGGATGAATGTCCCTCTCAGGGAGAACTGCTGCCCTGCCTACTCTGGATATTCCCTGTTAAATCCTGAATTTCAAAGATGACACCTTGTGGACAAATTTTTATGTTGATAACTGGGTTTCCCATATTAAATATAAATTATTTATAAAAGTATCTGATCTGATATATGAGCTATAACCAGAATTGTTACAAACTGAATTGATGATTCTAGTTTGAAAAAAAAAAAGGTTTTTTTAAGTTAAACCTTACCCAGGAAATGATCTTACTTCCATATGTTTAAAAATAACCTAAAAAAGGATTTACTTATTTTATGTACATGAGTGTTTTGCTGTGCATACGCCTGTGCACCACATGCAAGCCTGGTGCCCTCAGGTCAGAAGAGGGAGTTGTGTGCCCTGGAACTGGAGTCACAGATGGCTGTGGTTGGCACGTGGGTGCTGGGAACTGAACCTGGGTTCTCTACATGTTTGACAAATACTGGTGACCCCTGAGCTATTAATTAATTCTGGAAATGCTAGAAGTCAGTATCTGGTATATTTGCTCTGCTCAAAACCCACCCTGATGGTACATCCAAACTAACCTAACATAAGCCCAATTTAGGCTAAATTCATTAGTAGCAGGGGAAAAAAAAACACAAAAAAAAATTACAGGTTAAAAGCCAGGTATCCTGGTCCACATCTTTAATTCCAGCACTTTGGAGGCAGACACAGAAGCAGAAGGATTTCTGAGTTCAAGGTCAGTCAGGTTGACAGAGTTCCGATAAAAGGAAAGTTACAAGGTGAGCACTCTATTCCGAAAGAATCTGAAGTCTACACTGACCTAACATCTGAAACTTTCTAAGTGCTAACAAGTGGAAAATCCCAAACCTTACCTCATCTGATGGGCCACAGCCCAAATTCAGACACTCTTGCTGGGTGTTCTGAAGCACATCTTTGATCCAGCAAATGGGAGGCAGAGGCAGGTAGATATTTGTGAGTTCGAGGCCAGCCTGGTCTACATATTGAGTTCCAGGACAGTAAGAACTATGTGAGAACCCATCTCAAAACAAAAATAAAAAAATAAAGCAAAATAAAAAATTAAGATACACTAAAAAATAACAACAGACTCAAGAAATTACTTTCTGGTCTAGGGCTGGTGTCTATGAGATGTAAATGAATTTTGTGTTTACATTTGGGTTCCATTCCCAGGATAGCTAGTTATACATATGGAACTAACCCAGAGTCTAAAAGTCAGGAATCTGGAACACTCTAGGTGTAAACACCTCAGGTGAGGGACATTCACCCTGTAGTAACAGAAGATAAAGTCTGGTACTCGGGTCAAGAGGGTCGGATGCAAACTCCTGCCTGATGCTGAGCAGCTACACAACCCAAGTCTCTTCTGCCTTAGTTCCACTTGCCGCAGAAAAGCAGAGCCTGCTGTGGGCCATTGTAGGTGAAAATCTGAATGACACGGGGCACCTGGCACATAGCAAGGGCCTGCCAGCTGGAGGCCACCGTCCTCATCCTATACCCTGGAAGCAGGGCACGGTGGCAGCCCTGGTAAGCATGCCACTGAGAGGTGTGGGCACAGTCTGTGGTGAAGTTTGGGATGTGGATTTTAGATGATCCCTAGTGTACCCAGCAAGAGTTCATCAAGTCATCTAGGGGGAGATCCCATTCTACCACACTGAAAAATGGGCTGTTTGCGCATGAGCAGACAGCTCCCTGACTTACAGTTGTAGCACAGGAGCAGGCCGGCTTCTCCATCTTCATACACATCAATAGCCGCCACAAAGTTAACCTGCAATGATAAGAGGCGGTGGTGGCAGTGGTGGGATGCGGACACTCAGAGAAGCCTCCCTGAGCTAGGAGTGTCTCAAGCAGTGGTCGTCAGTTCTCAGAAACCAGGGTGCTGGATGGCACCCACATTACACCTCGTAACCTGCTGGGCCAGGGTTACAGGGACCTGAGGTGGGAGAGGAACGTCTTTGCTTCCTTTCTCTTCTGGGTGGGACTTTCTCACCCACTGTCCTGCCCTTCTAGGTCTGAATCCAGCTGTGCTCCCAAGTGCTCTTATTTACCCAGAATGCTCAGGTTCACGGGGTTGCCATTTGTGCCAACCTGACCCAAGCAGACAGCACTGTGTCTGTCTGACACGAGAGGAAAGGACGTCTCTGAGGAGACTGAGTGAGGTTTCTCCTGCCTCCAGCACGTGGGGTCTCTGGGCTCTTAGGTCACCTAGTATGTCTCCACCTCCACTTGTCTTTCCTATAAAGGCAGAACAAGGCAGTGGAGGGGGTCTACAGCACACCCGGCTCTGGGCTGCTATGGTCCAGACTTGAGACAAGGGTGCTCAGCCTGCACTGTAGCCATCCATTGTCCTCTTGGGGTCCAGAAACTCTGCCCTTTGATGGCAGCTTCATGTGCTCTAGGCTAAGGTGCACAACATATGATTACAGATGCATAGCATGTAATTTATTATTATTATTATTATTATTTTGAGACAAAGTCTCATGTGGCCCAGGTTGGCCTCAAACTACTATGTAGCCCAGGCTAACCTTGATCTCATGAGGAACTCATGATCCTCTTGCCTCAGCTTCACAAGGTTACGAACTGTAGGCATGAACTTCCACATCTCAGTAGAGTGTGTAATTTTTAAGAAGCCACATCATAGTGTCTGGAATTAGAAGATAAAGCCCCTGCTTTCTCAGATTAGCAATCAGTTCCTACAGCTGTCCACGTACCTTGCTGGCCTCCACATGGTGCAGCCTGAAGGCTTCTCCTGTGCTCTCATTTACCACGTCGAACTGGTGGCGGTATGCCACACAGATGAGGTTGTCACTCTCTTCCGTCGGCCCATCCACTAAGGTCATCACAGCTGGGGAGTCACACAGACAGATTTCCTGTGTGGGCGGGGATGAGCAGCGCACAGGTTAGCACACAGTGGCCGTCTTTAGACAGTCTCTCTGAAGAGTCCAGCCCGGCTGCCAGCAGAGCTGGGCTGCACAGCTGGGTTGCACAGACAGGGTCCCACCAGTCTCCTCCTTCCTGTAACTTCCCTTCAAGTCTCAGACCTCTGTTCACAACCTGATTTCTCTGCCCAGTTGCCCAGTGCCTACTGTCTGTCTTGTGATAGTAATAGCATATAACCGTTGACTGCATCACACATGCCGGGTGGTGTTTTCACGGAATCCTTGCACCAGCCCCTGGAATCAGGTCTGGCTGTTACTCTATGGAGGAAGAAATGGTGGCTCCAAGGTCAAGCTGCTTGCTTACGGTCACAAAGTTTATATGTGGTAAAGCTATGATTTGAATTCTGTGAATCTGATTTCAGAGCTCACACTACCTAACTACACTATATAAATATTCATTATGGGTGGTAATTAGTCTTGAGGAGGCTGACACCTAATTAGAATACGATTTTAACTTTAGTGTAACTAGCAGAGTATTTCTGTCCCCAGAACAGCTGCAGAAACCAGTGTGCATCATTCGGGAGGCCTTAACCGAGTGAAAATGCCTTCTCAGTTTGCTAGGGCGACACTCAGCTCTGGTGGCCGATGCTGGGAGCACTCCATAGCTTCATGAGCTGTAGCTGTTTTTATTTTTTGAGACATAGTCCTGGAACTCACCATGTGGACTGCGCTGGCCTCGAACTCACAGAGATCCGCCTGCCTCTGCCTCCAGAGCGCTGGGATTAAAGGCGTGTGTCACCAAACCCAGCCTCATTGCATATTTCTGCAGACTATCAGGTGTTTGCTTGCCCACTTAGAGGGCAAGCTCTGTGGGAGAGACTGTGCACAGGCCATTGCTGCACGGCCATGCCCAGGACTTGCAGAGGTTACTGTGGATGAGCACACAGCTTAGATATCTGGGCAGGCTAGGACACAGGAGGCTGGGACTCCGCAGGGGTTACTGAAGAGTAAGGACAGTCTTGGGACTAGACAGGGAGGCAGCTAACCCCTGGCCAGGAGAGCAGAAGCTAGACAGCAAACCTACCCTGATGTACTGGAATTCCTCCACAGGTGACTCCGACAGGGGCGACAGGAGCGAGGCCCCCGACACCCCGCTTGGCTTGTTGTGTTGTTTCCTTGTGATGAGAAGCAGTTTATTACGGATTGCAACCACGATTCTCAGTTCTCTGCTGTGGTGAGTGTTAATAGCATATAGGTGGCATCCTGGGAAGAGGAAGGGTGACGTTAAAAACGTAGGGAGGGCTGGTAGCCCCCAGGTCTGGGGACCTTGGCAATGGTTCCTAAGAACCCTCGGAATGAAGCGTAACAGACAGACCAAGTATGACTCTGATACCAGGTATCCCCTGTTCACGTGTCTGAACACTTGGTCCCCAGCTGGTGACACCGTTTTGGAAGGCTGTGAACCTTTAGAAGGTGGAGCCTCACTGGAGGAAGTGAGTCACTGCTTATGGCCTAGTCCCACTTCCCATCCGCTCCCTGCTTCTTCTTCTTTTTTTGGTTTTTGGAGAAAGGGTTTTTCTGCGTAGCCCTGGCTGTCCTGGAACTTGCTCTGTAGTACAGGCTGGCCTCAAACTCACAGAGATCCTCCTGCCTCTGCCTCCTGAGTGCTGGATTAAAGGTGTGCGCCACCTCCACCCAGCTGCTCTCTGCTTCTTGACTGAGAAGAAACACAGGCAGCCACTGTGTGCTCCTGCGCCTGCTTATACTGTAAGCAAAAAGCCCTCCTTCCTGTAAGCTGCTTCTTTCTTGATATTGGCACAGCAAGTAGAAAAGACACTAATACACCAGGCAAGATGGACATGAAAGCAAAGTTAGAAAAGGCAGCCTCTTCTAGTCTACAGATGGTGGACCTGGTTTTATCTATCTGTCTTCTTGGATTATGTGTGAGGTAGTTTGAATGAAAACGGACCACATAGGCTCATAGATCTGAGTGCTTGGTCCTAAGTTGGTAGAACTGTTTGGGAAGGATTAGCAGGTGTGGCTTGTCGGAGGAGATGTCACTGGCTCTGAGGTCTCACGAGCCCACACCATTCCCAGTTAGCTCTCGGCCTCACGGTTGATTCGAGCCCTCAGTTACTGTTCTGGTGCCTGCTGCCGCGATGGTGGTCACTGACCCACCCTCTGAAACTGTAATCCCCCAATAGATCAGTTCTTCTACAGTTTGCTGGGAATATTATTTTAAGGTGTGTTACTTTTGTTTCTGCTTCATTTGTTTAACTCTGCGAAGCCGTGATGTTTTGCCTGTTTGGAACACCTGATGGTCTAATAAAGATCTGAACGGCCAATAGCGAGGCAGGAGAAAGGACAGGTGGGGCTGGCAGGCAGGGGGAAGGTTCGGAGTAGTAACCCGAGAAGGAGGAGGATGTCAGGGGTCAGCCATTCAGCTACACAGCAATCCATGGTGGAAGAGTAAGATCTTCCGAAGTAAGAGAATGGGAAAGAAAGCACAGAGGCAGAGGGTAGAGGGAGTAATATAAGTTAAGGAAAAGCTGCCAAGAAACAGCCAAGCTAAGGCTGGGCATTTATAACTAAGAATAAGCCTCCATTTGGGAGGTGGTTGGTGGACCCCCCAAAAGAGTCCAAAGAGCTTAACATCATACTAACATCATACTACTACAACAGTTGTCTTGGTCATGGTATCTGAGCACAGCAGAAGAGGAACTATGGCAACGTGTGTGAGTGTTTGGCCTGCATGTATGTACATATATGTGTCTTGTGTCTGAGGATATCAGATGGGTTACAGGCAGTTGTGAGCTTGACCTCTGAGTCATCTATTCAGGCCCAGGGTTTGGTTTTGTAGCCACCACACAACAGGAACTAAAGCAGAGGTTGATCAGAACTCCAAGAACCAAAATCCTTTGTTATACATTAGCTGAGAGAAGTGAACTCACCTCCAAGACCGGAAACCTGTGGCCCAAGGCCGAAACTTCCTGCCTTTAACCTGCCTTCCTATTTCCCTGGCTTCTGAGAGAAGCCGAGGCTCTATTTTGGCAGTTCCAGGACTCAGACCCAGGGTTTTATGGGTGTTCAGCAAGAGTGCTTCCTTGACCTACAGCCCCATACTCCTGCTCATCTGCCCCCAGAGGAATTGTTTTTTTGTTCCCTGATTTTCATTTTTATTGTAGGTAGCCTGAAAATTTTAACAAAGTTTCTTTCTTCATTTATGACAGAGTCTGAAACTCACTCTGCAGCCAGGGATGGCTTACACCTTACACCAGGAACTGAACCTCGGGTCTCACACTTTCAGGCTAGCACTCCACCCACTAAGTTACTCCCCGGTCCTCACCTTTGGTTTTCTCCAGCTTGTTTTCTCTGCAGTCAGATCTGCTCCTTCCTGTCTGCCTGCTGTCAAGGCCTTTCTGCACCACACTCAACCTGAAGACAAACAGGCGGGCATCTTTCCCTGGTGACAGTGAGGGAAGGCAGAGGAGGGGTTAGATAGAGAAGCCGTGACCTGCTGGGACTCCCAGGGCAGATAGAGAAGCCGCGACCTGCTGGGACTCCCAGGGCAGATAGAGAAGCCATGATCTGCTGGGACTCCCAGGGCAGATGTGCACACCAGGCTTGGGAGGTGTTCGGGGCATGCTATAGAACGTTTACTCAACATAATCATGGGAGAATGATACTCTCCGTCCCTCTGCTACCCCGACTCGTGGGCCACCAAAGGACCACTGCACTGGTAGCAGGAAAAGGAACAGTGACCCTGAGGTCTGCTGCAGGTTACACCCGCCCTCATTTCTTCCCAGAGCCACCATCTGCGGGCAGCACCTTTGTCTGCTCGGAGAACAAGGATGTCCAGGGCCTCGAGCACGTGGATCTGCTTCACAGGCAGAGTTCTGTCGAACACAGGCACGGATGGAAGGCCGTCTGGAAAAGAAGTCTGGTTACTCCACTGCACAACCATGACGCATGCCTGGGGCTGACCTGAGCCTCTCTAGCCAAGGATGGAGCTGCTTCTCCAGCTCTCATAAGGAGCGGAAGCACTGCTCAGTGGCATCCAGACCTCTCTGTGGGGTGCTGGCGGGCAGGCGGGCATATCAGCAGGAATACCAAAGGAAGTTGTTTTTCTTTTTCATGACACCAAAGAAAGAGCAGCATGTCTCAACTCCAAATTTATAGGGGTTTTATCAAAGGACTGAACACCATAGGGGAAAAAGAGCAGCTACTTCTTTTAATACAAAGTATTATATTTTGTATTATTTCATGCATTTCTCAAGAAAGTAAATTTAATACTTCTTTTTACATTTAAAGTGAGTACAAACATGTCCCATCCCTCACAGGCCCTCCGTCTGTATCAACAGTAGTCTGCTTATATGGTTTTTGTTTGTTTTGTTTTTCAAAATAAAGTTTCTCTGTGTATCCCTGGCTGTCCTGGAACTCACTAGTAGACTAAGCTGGCCTTAACTCACAGAGATCCACCTGCCTCTGCCTCCTGAGTGCTAGGATTATGGGTGTGCACCACCATGCCTGGCTTCTTTCATATATATATATACATATATATGTATATATATAGTTTTTATTATTTTTAATTATGTGTTTGTGTCTGCATGCAGCTATGTGCACGAGAGTACAGGTGTACTCAGAGGCCAAACGCTTAAGATGCCCCAGAGCTAGAGTTACAGGTGGTTGTGAGTTACTCACATGGGTCCTGGGAACTAAACTCAGGACCTTTGGAGGAGCAGCAAGCGCTCCTAACCTCTGAACCATCTCTTTAGTTTACTGCTTATTCATTTTAAGTACTTTTCAGATAGGAATTTGAAATATTTTTTGGGACAAAAGAATGGGAGAAGTATCAGTTAAATTGTCTAAATACCAGGTACAGACAATGGGAAGTAAAAACACCCCGCGAGAGTTCGGGTGGACGGCTCATGACACTGCCATTATGAACAGAATTCGACTTTGAGGTTATCTGGAACTTGCGAGTGGTAATAACTACATTGCTGCCTCTCAGGGACCCTAAGAGAATTGTTAGGGGCATTCTGCTGCAGAAGGACAAGGCTGAGGCCACCAGGGATGCTGTGGACATCTCAGGTACAGGTGGCCGGCTCCTTCTTCTTCTGCACTTACTCTTAAAGGTTTTGCTATGGGCTTGGGTTGGTCTGTTTCTTCACAATTTAGGTACAAGGGGGTGTGGGGCTCAGTCCTCTTGTAGAAGTAGAAACGGAGCTGGGAGTTGATCCATCTCGGGATGCTACCCATCAAGGCAGGGCCTCTGTCATTAGGACAGCATCCTCAATGGAGAAGGGGTTTCAGCTCCAGCAGGCATGGAGGGCTCTGGATCTGCCTATATTGGGTCCCATGAGATAGACAGCCTGTCCCTGTCTCCCTTAGTCACACAGGGCTTGCTTCCAGTCCCCCTTTAGGGCCCCCCCTTGCTTCTAGTCCTCCCTTTTAGATGGAAGAAGCATCAGTCATGGTCAGCCCTTCTCTGTTGATACCAGGGGCTCTGTAAACGTGGAATGATCATTCCAGTACTGTCCCATCTGGGTGAACAACAGCAGTTATCTTATGGGTCCACAGGAGCATGAGAAGTGGCAGGTCACTCCACTAAGGGCTCACTTCTTATGGTCTTGAATTTAGATGCCTTATTTCCCCAATAGGCTGGCACTTGTAATGCTCCTATTTAACCAAAGGGGAACTGAATGCTCTAAAGTGTTCATAAAACTCATTCAAGGTCACTGCTTATACATATGGAGCCAAAAAGGATAGAACACCTCCTCACACCCTGGAAACAGAGGTGCACTGTGTACTGCCAAGCCCAGAGTGGATCAGGATGCATTCCCCATCCACTCCTCAGATAGCTGAAGGGTTTGTAAGCAGACAGGAAGGAGAGAAGTCAAGGACAGGAGAAAGTGACGGATTTAACGGCTGCTTGATTCATTCTTCTGTTTTGTAATCGTGGTATGAAGATGAAGTCTTTTAGAGAGAGCGTTTCTATTACCATAAAACAGCTTACTTACTCAGTGACCTGTCCCTCAAAGCAGATTTGCTGTGCTCCCAGTGCAGAGGGTCCTGAGACTTTAAAGACAATGACCTTAAAAGAAGCAGATTCTCCAGGGCAAGGCTAATGACATGGAGCAAAGGCTAAAGGGCTGGACTGGGGCTCAGCCTGAACGAAAGGGACAGACCGACTCACAGAAAACAGTCTGTAATGTGACTGTGTGCAGAGCAGAAGGCAGACTAAGAAATAACAGAACGATGGCACAGAGCGAGATGCAGAAAGAGCTCAGGCTTCTGCCCTGCCAACGCCGACGGCAGGCATCACTGGACAGTGGAGAGACAGCCTGCATGCCTCTCCAAGGCGGAAAGAAAAGGATTTCCTGGAGGATCACAACAGCCTTTATACCAGTGCCGCCACGAGACTCTGGATGCAGAGGGACAGCTTCAGAAAACACTTGATAATATTGGTTTGGATCCTAACTTTTTTTTTAAAAAATAATTCTTATTTGTTCTGGGTTTTGCTCTGAGGTTATATCCAGTCTTGACACAGAATACTTTCTTTGATCTCAAAGGAAAACTAGTGCAAAATTCTCAGACCTATTTACCTGGAACTGTGGTTTTGGGAATTGGTGTCAAGGTCAAACCAGAAATGCTGGAGGGGTTTACTGTGCTGAAGAGCAAAGTGGCTGGTGTGTGTCAGTCATGTGACTTTACACAGGCCATGCTGTTACTTCAGGCCTCTGCTTTGTCATCGATAAAATCAGAAGACTAAGTAACTAAAGACGGTTTGGAATTTTGAAAATAAAATAAAACTTTTGGCAAAAATCCAAGGATTTTGTGAGCTTTTAGAAGACCACTGGGAACATGGTAAAGACAGCAGCTGCCTGGACCAGAGACTACTGCAGGCACTCGGCACAGGAAGCCACTGGTCCTTGCCATCCCCTCCCTGCAGTTCCAGTGTCTCACATGTTCCACTATTATAAACAACTCCTCAGCCTTTTGAGGCCAGAGGCTCAGAGAAGGTAGATTTTCTTTTTGGAGCTGGGGGATGAAGAACCCAGGCCTTACGGTCCAGGCAAGTGCTGTACTGCTGAACTATATACACTTGCCCTCTGTTTTCCTCAAACCACAGAGTTTCTCAAATTAAGGATTTAAATTCTGAGCTGATGAGTTTTAAGCTACCTACATTCTATTAACTTAGTCATAGATATAATTAGGTTATGGGAAACAGGATGGGTTTTATGTTCTCGACATTGTATTAAATCAGCCATAGATAGAATTAGGTTATGGGACCTCTGGAAAATCACAGGTAAGGCCAGTTTGTTCTCCTGCCACCCCACAGGAAGCCCCTGGCACAGGGCCTGGAACAGAGCGGTGGGGGGTGGGGCTAGCGAGTGTGCTAAGCAGATGTCAGAGGGACAACTAGGCCCTGTAGGGCGGGGAGGAGATGTCGTTTCAGAGCACCAAGCCACGGTCACCAAAGGATGTGCTTGTGAAGCCGAGGCTTCTCTAGGCCCTGTGGCTCCCTCAGAAGCCCCAGAGACTTGATGCTTGTGTGTGAGTCCTCTGTTGTTCATTAGGAGTCTGGAGCAATCTGGAGGCACCTGCTGCTGTCCTAGAGTCTGCGTCCTGTCATCACTATGGCCAAGGTTTGCCTTGTGCTGGCTGCTCTGTGTGACTGGTCTAGCTCGCTGTCAGAACCTGCCATTTAGTACCGAGCTGCAATCTGTCTTGTCAAAATTTTTCTGCTTCTCTATCCATAAATGCAGTTTTCTAAGATTCATATGATTTGTTTTAGGTATCAAGTTTTTTTTCTAGTCAAGATTTTTTTAAAGGCTTCAAGAAAGCACATGTCTCTAAGAAAATGATATGAAATAGTATGCCTGTCATCATGAGATAAGTACTGAGACCACAGTGAGTGCTTGCTGAAGAATACTCTTTTAGTAGGTGGCTTAGTATCTGGGAATGAATTGGAGATTGGAGGAAGGGATGAACATTCCAGCATGCTGAATTCAAAATATACCCCTCAGAGCGCCTGTCTGAAACAAGGGGTTAATCTGATTAGAAAAACAAACCTGGTTAACTCCCCTTGGGAGCTGACTGGCAGTCACCCACCTTAGAAGTACCACAAGTCACACAAAAAAGGACATCTGTAGGAGTTGCTACTCACTAACCATCCACTAGCAAGACGCCGGCGTCAGTGGAAACCAGCAAGGCCTGGCCCCAGGGCTCTGCGCACACGGCTTCGTGAGGGAAATTACTGCAGAAACACTGGGGTTCCCAAGGCTGTGAGGTGACACAAGCATTGGAGAGTGAGTGGACCAGAAAGAACGCACTGTGTCCCACCAGATGGAAATGCAGAGTGCAACACCTGAAACAGTAACACAGATAGCCCATGGGATGAGCTGCGCCAGGCTCAGCAGCGACTGGGGCCTGGGCTCCATTATCTTCCTTAGGAGAAAACCTCCTTTCAAACACGGGCGCCATAGGAAAGCAGTGCCTTCACGCTTCTGGCACCACGGCCTGGCTCTGCACGACCATCATGTTCCTTGGGCAATAGAAACACTGGTAATCGGCTTTCTTTAGTACCTAGAAGCTGGGCAAATTGGTGCCTTTTACTTTTTTTTTTTTTTAAAAGAGGGCTGATGTTAGTTTAGCATAAAAGGAAGTCCCAGGTAGCTATTAATTTTTTTCTGTGTTGCTGATTCAACAAAATCGTTAAACATTACATATTACAAGAGATTGATATTGTCTTAATATATAGGTGCTTACTGACCCATATAAGGCCATAAAATCTTAAAGTGAAAACAGCACATGTTTACAGGAAATTCCTCCAGGTCGCTGTGTGGACCTTCACACCACATGAACACTTTTTCTGGTCCCCAGGTGACATGTCACACTGCACGAACACTTCCTGGGACCTTATTCATTTCTGTTTCTGGGGTAAAGTTAGCTCTCCCTCACTTCCCTCACAACGGCCCCTGAGGTGGGTGTGAAGGCCAGGAGACGGCAAGCACTGTTTGCTAGGATCTTAGTCACACGGTGTTGTGGACAGTTTTTGTTTTCGTAGCACTAGGAATCGAACCCAGGGCCTCTCGTATGCCAGGCAAGTGCCCTCCCCGAGAGCTATGCCCCTAGTGCTGTGAACTGCACACACTTCCAACAGGCATTCATTTTCTTTCCGACACCTCTCTTAGCCCTATGCTCTGAAAACCTCTGTGGTTTCTGGGGATAAGTGGAAGGCTTACATCTTCACTTCTATTCTCAACTAGTCCTAAGTGCCGACAGACCCAGCTGGGCAGCAGAAGAACCTGTGTTTGCTCTTGTGGTATGTATGACTGCTCAGGAGAGACATGTTCACATCCTCAAAGTTCAAGGAAGGCCAAGGACCTTCAAGAACTGAGCCTAACATTGGATTGTCTCTAGCTGAGCTTCCCTTTCAGGACTCACAGCCTCAGACTTGCAAAAATGGGACTGCATTGTTCTGAAGGGGCAGCCTAGAGAATACGGACACATTTTCTAAGCTGAAAAAGGAAAACACAGAGACAGGTCAACAACTGAAAAATTTCCCCTAGAAGGGGTCTGGCAATTCTGAGTTGGCAATGTATAGCTACAGGAATTGAAAATGAAGAGGAAAATATATATAAATGGAGACAGACTTTGAAACCGACACTTTAGGTAATACCAAGACAAAACAATGTGTGTGTGTGTGTGTGTGTGTGTGCATGCACATGCCCGTTTGTGCAGGTTACATGTGCAGGCCTGAGGCTGACACCATGATGTTCCTTAGTTACATATTTCCTTGCCTTTGAGACAGGGTCTCACTGAACCCTAAGCTCACCAGTTCTGCTGGACTAGATGGGCAGCAAGGGTTTGGAGAGACCCCGTTGAGTACTGGGGTTTAGGCATGAAACACCACACTGGGCTTGTCTGTGGGTGCTGGGGATCCTCACTGAGATAGCATCCGAGTCCTCAACTGAGTCTTTTAAAAAAATATAATGATTTTAGTACTTTAGCGTGTATGGGTATTTTGCCTGCTTGTATGTTCATGTACCATGTGCATGTAGGGTGTTTGGAGGCCAGAAGAGGGCATCAACCCCCCTGGGGCTTTTGTGGCAGACAGTTGTTAGGCATCATGTGGGGGTGGGGATGGGATCCCAGTCCTCTGGATGAGCAGTCATCAACTGAATCTTAATAGCAAAGCGTCCCCTGGCAGGCGGACACACGCAGAAGGGCTCTTCACCCGGAAGACCCAAGGTTCTCTGGTGCAGAGTATCTCCAAGGGTGGACCAGGGAGCTCTCTGGTTATATGATCCCAGCAACAAAAGCAGCTTTTTCTTGTGCGCTAGGACAAGTTTTTGTGATCAGACATTTGTTTGGAATATATGCCTAAGGGCTTAAGGATGTCAGGAAATCTCAGTACCATTTATAAAGCGCTTAGAAGCACTGCGAATTCCCACCACACACACAAATGACAGAGTCGGACCTTCTGCAGCTTGGGAAAGGATGTCTGTCTCATTTGATCAGAAGATGCTGTGTTTTGTCAGGGTCAACTGCATTAAAATTTTAAAAACCCTGCTTATTTATTTTCTTGTTTATTTATTTATTTAGTGTGTGTGCATGTGTATGCATGTGCTTGTGTGTGCGCGTGCGTCTGAATCTGCACCTGAGGAGGTCAGAAGACAACTTATCAGCTCTCTCCTTCCACCATGTGGGTGACAGGGACTGACCTCAGGTGGTCAGGCACAGTGGCGATTCCCATTTGAACCATCTCGCTGGCTCTTAATTGCATTAAAACGTTTTGTTTTTATTTTTATGTGTGAGTGTGTGTAAGCACACACGTGGGTGTTGAGAGAGGCTAGAAGAGGACCCCTTGGAACTGGAGCTACAGGCAGATGTGGACAGCCTGATGTGGGTGCTGGGACTGAACTTGGGTTCTCTGTAAGAACGGTAAGTCCTCTTCCAGTCCCCTGCTCTGTCCTTGATGATCACCTATCCTACTTACCCCAGCCTCCAAAACTAAAAATAGAAAGTAGATAGGCTACGAAGCTTGCTGTTTGGCTATGTACCTATACACATTGCAACACTTTCTCACCTACACTCCTCTGAACAGCAATCCCTGAGGACTAGTTAGAAGAGCAACCTGACGGTGAACTCTGGGAAGCTGGCACAGCACAGCTACTTGGAAGAGAGCCGCAATGAGGAACTGTCTGCACTGGGTTGCCTTGTCGGGGGCTGTCTGAGCTGATGTGGAAAGACTCAGTTCACCGAGGGCAGCACCATTCCCTAGGCAGAGTGCCCTGAACTGTACAACATGGGCAGTCAAGCTGAGCACAAGCAAGCATGGGTGCATTTACCTCTTTCTGTGTGGATGTGGGTGTGAGAAGCTCCCATCACTGAGGCCTCTCTATGGTGATGACTGACCTAGGTGAGCTAAAATAAGCCCTTCCTCTCCTACTGTGCTTTCTGCCAGAATATTCCATTACTGCATTGAAACATTACAGGTATGGAACTAGGACAGCAGCCTTTCAAGCCCATGCCCAACCTGTTGGATTAGAGCAGTGCTTTTCAGCCTCCCTAACACGGTGACCCTCAATTCCTCATGTTGTGGTGACCCCAACCATAAAATCATTTTATCACTACTTCATAACTGTAATTTTGCCACTGTTATGAACTATAAATATCCGATACACAGGATATCCATATGTAACCCCAAAGGTTGAGAACCACTAGATTAGAGGGTGGCATTGACTCGGACTCCCTCTAAGAATCCTGGCTCCAGAGTCTCGCTGTTTGTACTGGGCTGAGGTCAGATGACATGAAAGCACATGGAGCTTCGTGTGAGGCGCACTCTCGAAACCAGCACTCTGTCTATCTATGCACACGAATGCAGGCATGCGCTACATGACCCGGGCTCCCGAGGACTCTGAAAGGGACCTCCACCTGCCCCAACTGTTGCCATAACTTCACTGAGCACAAAGAACATCCACGATTCAGAGAGAAAGCATCAACTACTTACCTCTTTCTTACACATCCCTGAAGCTGCCAAGCTGGATGGGGCATCCCCTCTCACAATGGACTTGAGTTTCAGGGCCTAGTGGGCAGAGATGCCTCTTAGGGTTTGGTGTCAGACAGTGAAAGAATGGCAGGGTAAACAGCCAAGGCTTGGGAGAAAGCAATGAGTCAGGAGAAGTTTGGGGTTAAAACTGCAGGATCCTCTGCTGACTTATCGCTGATAAGGAGTTAGGGAGACTGTGGTGCTCCGTACCAGGGTCACGGCCCAGACTAGACAGTGGTGCTCTGTACCCATGTTATGACCCAGACTAGACAGTGATGCTCTGTACTGGGGTTATGGCCCAGATCACACCTACTGTTTTTGGCATTTAAACTAGTTCTATTAGTTCTATGATTTCAAAACTAAGAATGCTGAAAAATACAGATTCCCAGGACCTTTTCAGTCTTGATGGCTCAAGAGTCCCTGAAAGGACAGGCCATTTAGTTTTAAGATGTTAAAAAATTAGCCGGGCAGTAGTGGTGCACACCTTTAATCCCAGCACTCAGTGAGGCAGAGGCAAGCAGATCTCTGTGAGTTAGAAGTCAGCCTGGTCTACAGTGAGAGTTCCAGGACAGTCACAGATGCACAGAGAAACCCTGTCTTGAAAAACCAAAAAAAGAAAAGATTTAAAAAAAATTATGTTTACTTTTCTATTTTGCATGTTCATGTATGTACATGGGTGTGTATGTATGTTATGTGTATTATGCATGCCATGGTGCAATCATGGAGGTCAGAGGACAACTTGTGGCAATTACATGGAAGACAGAGGACAAGATTCGGATCTCTAGGTTGTCAGCTTGGTGGCAAGTTCCCTCACCTGCTAATCTATCATGCCAGCCCCAGTTATCTTCAATAAAGACTGATGTGTATTTTTTAAAAAATGTGACCTTTGTCTCTGAGTAGTCATTGGTCACAGGATCCTCCATTATCTACTTGCCTTGCGGCTTAGGGTCCTCCTCTGCCCCCCTCCCCATGTCTATGGCTGGAGGCCCCTCGGCTTCCTACTGAAAACTTGGAGCTGAGAAAAGCTAGTGTTACCAGGGAAGTGAGGCAGAGAGAGGGGAATCTCCTCCAAGGCCTGACAGTCAAGGACACATAGAGAAGTCCTATCTTGAAAAAACAAAACAACAGAACAACAAGACCCCCACCCCAATCCTAAACAAAGTATCCTGTGGGGGGTCGGATCTGGAGGGACTCACAAGCGTACTTCTCAAGGCCGTACCTGTCCTGTCCTAACAAACTCGGCCTGGCGGGCCTCCTCTTTCTTCCGTGCTGACTTGGGTGACTCAGGTAAAACATCACTGAAAGATCGCCGATTGAGCATGTTCTAAACAAGAAAAAAAACAAGGTTGGGGTTCCTCAGACAGTCAAGTCTCATCCTTTGCTGTCTAAAGCACGCATGCACACATGAATGCACAGGTGCACGTGCGCACACACACACACACGCACACATATGCGTATGCACACATGTGCACACACATGCACACACAGTCACACACATGCATGCGCACGTACACACATGCACACACACTCACCTATTCATCTAATCAGTACTATTTCTACCAGCAGCATTCGCTCATTCAGTACTGTGGCAGACACAGGGACAGAGTCTAGACATGTAGAGCCAGCACTGTGTAAAAGCTGAGAACACAGCCTTTAGACCAGGTAAACCAGCAGTTTCTTCACTCACTAGCATTGTAACTGAGGCCCCCGCATGGCACAGCTGCAGGATGCCAGTCCCATGGAGTGGCACCCTGGGAACCCAGCACACTGAATTCCATGGGAATGGCATCCCTGACCTGTGTGGCCGACACACGTCTCCCAGGAGTATGGTGGGGATCAGTGAGGGAATGGACAGAGGCTACTTAGCGTGGTCCTTGCCTTTCCTTCCAAACGGCTCATTAAGCCCAGTGCCCCGACTCCACCAGTCTCGGGGATCTGGCAGATACAGCCTCTGTCTTGGTAGATCACAGAGGCTGGCGGACTCGCAGACCAAGAGGCTAGCAGGACTAGCATGTCTGGTCTGGTCACTGGTAGAAAGGGGAGCTGTAGAAGGGAGATGACTTCATCTAGAGGTAACAGTACCTGGGCTGAGGCCCAAGGGACATGATTACTCACTATGCGGGTCTCTCTGAAGCCTTCCCTGACCTGTGAGTATTTGCTCTGTCAGGTCCTGGGGTTAGCCTGCCCATTTCCTGAGACCTGCCATACTACCAGCCAGACAGAAGTCAAGCGCTGCTAGAAAAGGAGGTGCCATGTGCAGAGAGAAGGGACCAGTATGTTCTCCTTCATTTTGACAGCCTGTCCCCCTGGGTGAGTGATAGCAGACAGCTCTCATTTACATACACCACCAGAGATTAATTACTTTTATTGAAGTTCTGGAATGAATGACAAAATTTTAAGATGATTTTTAACTTGTTCTGTGCTTCCTTATTAGGTAGGGAAATTAAAAAATTAAATTAAAGCCAGGTGGTGGCTCACACCTTTAACAGAGGCAGAGGCAGGCAGATCTCTGTGAGTTCGAGGCCAGTCTGGTAGACAAGAGCTAGTTCCAGGACAGGCTTCAAAGCTACAGAGAAACCCTGTCTCAAAAAACCAAAAATAGGGCTGGAGAGATGGCTCAGAGGTTAAGAGCACTGACTGCTCTTCCAGAGGTCCTGAGTTCAATTCCCAGCAACCACATGGTGGCTCACAGCCATCTATAATGAGATCTGATGCCCTCTTCTGGCATGCAAACATACATGGAAGGAATGTTGTATACATAATAAATAAATAAATCTTTAAAAAAACAAAAACAAACAAACAAACAAACGTGTGTGAATACATGCCATACATATATGTGGAGGTTGGAGGACAACTTGTGGGGTTGGCTCTTTTTGCCGTGTGGGTCCTGGAAGCTGACTCAGGCTGTCAGGCTTGGAGTCCAGGGCTTTACTTGCTGAGCCATCCCACTGGCCTCATGGAAATGGTTTTTAAATAATGATTTTACTCTCTTGCTGATCTCATACTCAGGCTGGAGATCTCCTAAGAGCCTGTGTACTGCTGAGGTGACAGGAAAGGGTGGAGTCTCATCAGTGTAGACAATGCCCTGGGCCTACAAAGTATCCAGCACAGAGTAGGTGTCCCTCAATGGAGACACTGCTTCAGTATCTGATCATAGAGACAGACAGAAAACCACCAGAAAACCCAAGAAAGCGCTTGGTCTTTCCTCTCTCTCCAGCATTTTTGCCAGTTCATCAGCTGTGTCTCTAGTACCAAGGACAGCACCACTAGACAGCAGCAGTGTGGTTCTGGTGCTGACTTATACTCTGTGCCCACCTATACCTTAGGCCACAGCTTCGTAAGGACCATATCTTTGCACAAAGACACTCAATGACCCTCCTTGTCATGGAGAATGTTAGCTGTGTGGCATCAGGTTATCAGGCAGCAAGCCCTGTGGGAGCTCAGGCTAGATCTGCGCTCTCCAGAAGCCCCACGGGAGAAAGGAAACACAGGTACCTTATGCAAATCTGGCATCAAATCCTGGTGTAAGGAGCGAATCAACATGTCCAGAGTACGCCGGCGTTTCTGGGCAAAGGTTGGGGTTTCCAAAGTGGCTTTCTCACCATTAATCACTGAAACAAAGGGAAAAGGGCATTGCAGTCATTACTAGCTAGTGACAAGTGCTCTCTGCAAGTGAAGTTGCACGGTGAATGCCACCTGTCACTATAATGCTAGCATTAGAACTGGGAAATGGTGTGTCTCCCAAAATGTCAAGGGCATGGCCCCAATCACTGGTGGATCCAATCACTGGCAGTTATCTTGGATCAGGAAGGCTCTGATTTTATCAGTGGCCAACCTACTGGTGGGTTAACACTTTGTTTATTGGTGGGTGGTGGAGGCATATGTAAGTGAGGTCTACTTGAAGAAGCAGGTCATAGTGCCTTTGAAAGATGGCTCTTGTCCCCTCATCCTTTCTCTTGTTCTCTCTGCTTCCTGGCTACTGTGAGGTGAGCAGGGTCCCTCCATCGTGTTTTGTTGCCACCATGATGGTTGAGAGAAGGCTCCAAAAGCATTATCTAAAACATGCCTTTTTTTCTCCCCCCCCCCCCCGCCAAAACAATATTTCTCTGTGTGTCCCTGGCTGTCCTGGAACTTGCTCTGTAGGCCAGGCTGGCCTTGAGATCCACCTGCTTCTGCCTCCTGAGAGCCTGTGTCACTGCTGTCTGGCCTTTTAATAGTTTTTCTCAGGTATTTTACCACAATGATGAAAAATGGTTAAATAAACGGGCATTACCATTGATCTAACCTTCACTTCATGGGAGAATGCTTCAAATTTAAATCCCAAAGTATGGATTTATATAACCTGTAGGCATATTTATCTTCCCTTTCTTGTTGGATAGTAAGCGTCCAGAGCAGAGCGCAGATCTAATCTTAAAGACATCTTTAGCTAGGGTGTCATTCAGTGGTTCACTGGGACCAATTGTGTGTGTGTGTGTGTGTGTGTGTGTGTGTGTATGTGTGTGTGTGTATGTGTGTGTGTTTTTGCTACAGCTTGTTGAAAAGAAAGAGCTGCTTTAGCACAGGACTTGGGTTCTTAGCTGATTGAATGTTTCTTCTGGAAACAGTTAAGCATTTCATGGACTACAGACGCTATGATCCAACAAGGTAGAGTGTGCGGTTACCCACCAGAACTCAGACAGGTGTGTCCAAGAGGTTTAGCCTGAAGTAATGGGTGTGTAACCCAGTCTGTGACTGATGTGCAGTCTTAAGCATGATCCTATTATTATAGATGGCTGCTGTCATTTAAGTACCACCACACACACCCAGTACAGTGCTAGGCACATTGAGTAGAGTAAGTATTCTCGCTCAGTTTTCTCATCCAGAGGGTCAATGGGAAGGCCTGTTCATGGACTGAAAACAGAACTTGCTGGGGACAAGGGATTCCCTAGACACTTCTTATGGGCTGGGGCCACCCTGGGCTTGTTACTATAAGGCATCCCTTAGGAGTTTTTGAAATGTACAATCAGGATGTTCTCTTTTGCTTTCTTGAGGATTTTCCCAATTAGTACCTTAGAAAATTACATATTTTTGTTTTTTATTAACTAATTAATTGTTTTCCCAACTTCCCTCTTCCCACCCCCATCCATTCCTCCTACTTTCTCTTCAGAAAAGGGCAGACCTTTATATCAGCTAGCCATGGCATACCAAAGTTGTAGTAAGACTAGGCACTGCCTATTAAGAGTGGACGAGGCAACCTAGGAGGAGTAAAGTGGTCCCAAAGCAGGCAAGAGTCAGAGAAAGCTCCTGCTCCCTGTTAGGAGTCCCACAGAAGTTACACAACTGTAACATATGTGCAGAGGGCTTAGGTCAGTCACATGCAAGCTCTCTGGCTGGTGGTTCCTATCAGCCTAGTTGATTGTGTGTGTGTGCCCTTGGCCCCTCTAGCTCCCCTAATCTTTCCTCCCTCTCTTCCATAGGATTCTCCGAGGTTTGCCTATTGTTTGGCTGTGGGTTTCTGTGTCTGTTTCCATCAGTTGCTGGGCACTGATATTTATTTATTTAAATATTTATTTATTATGTATACAATATTCTGTCTGTGTGTATGCCTGCAGGCCAGAAGAGGGCACCAGACCCCATTACAGATGGTTGTGAGCCACCTTGTGGTTGCTGGGAATTGAACTCAGGACCTTTGGAAGAGCAGGCAATGCTCTTAAACTCTGAGCCATCTCTCCAGCCCCCGGGCACTGATATTTATGGGCACCTAATTTTTGATAAAAAAAAGCCAGAAATATACAATGGAAAAAAGAAAGCATCTTCAACAAATGGTGTTGGTTTAACTGGATGTCAACATGTAGAGGAATGCAAATAGATCCATTTCTATCACCCTACAAAAAACTCAAGTCCAAGTGGATCAAAGACCTCAAAATAAAACCAGATACACTGGGCCTGATAGAAGAGAAAGTAGGGAACAGCCTTGAAAGCTTTGGCATAGGAGACAACTTCTCAAACAGAACACCAGTAGCAAAGGCACGGAGATCAACAGTTAATAAATGGAACCTCGTGAAACTGGAAAGCTTCTATAAGGCAAAGGATATCATCAAAAGGACAAAATGACAGCCTACAGAATGGGAAAACACCAACATCACATCTGACAGGGGGCTGATTTCCAAAATATATAAAGAACTTAAGAAACTAGACATCAACAAACCAAATAATCCAATTAAAATAATGGGTACAGATCTAAACAGAGAATTGTCAATGGAGGAATATCAAAGGGCTGAGGGCAAGCTTTTCTGTTGTATTTTTTTTTTTTTTTTTTTGGAGACAGGGTTTCTCTACATTGCACTTGCTGTACTGATCTCGCTCTGTAAACCAGTCTGGCCTGGAACTCGCTCTGTTGGCCTAATTTTTCTACTTGATTCTGATGTATGGGCCCCAGTGTTGTTCCCTGAACATCTGAGGCTAAAGCACCACAGGCTCTGGGCTCTTGCTATGCTACCAGCGTCCTACAGAACACTCGTCTACTCTGCCTGGCTCCTTCCTTCCTTCGAGCTGCAGCAACTGTCTGTTTGTCTGTTTGTTTGATGCTTCCTATCTAACACTCTGGGCTTGAACCACTAGAATTTCTCAAGTCTGGATGATCTGAAAATGCAGCCTATCTGGCAACACTACTTCATCGGCTGGAGAGCACCACCTGGCTGGAGCCTGGTGCACTCTCTCCAGTCCACCACAGTCCCAGGGTTCCTCACTGTTGTCTCTTACCCTCTGCCCCTGCCCCTCCACACACGAATATGTGACCCGTGTCCCAGTCACTGAACTGGCCCATGGACATGGAAGGTACAGAATCATCACCTCTGCCAAGTGGTTTGCAATCTGCTGCTGCTTCTAACGGGGGCAGAGCATTTCCCCATGACCCTGCCATGGGCCAAAGCTAACAGTGTGGAGAGTACCCAGCTACACGTCTTTAAGGACTATTCCCACCAGGAGACGGTTGTGAAGCATGTGGAGGCCCTGGGAGGGGCTGCTGGGATTTTGGTGGGAAGAGCTTGAAACCAGCTTGCCTGTGAGTGGGATGCATTTGGTAACTGGAGTTACATGATGTCCATCCCTTCAAGTGTACTGACATGACAGATATGGCCTGGGAACCTTGTGTGGCTGCTGATGGAGGACTCACGTGTAGGGTTATGGAGGAGACTAGGTAGATAAGAAGACAAAGGTGGGGGCTGGAGAGATGGCTCAGGACTTAAGAAGCACTTGCTGCTAGTGGCACAGGCCTTTAATCCCAGCACTGACGTGGCAGAAACAGGCAGATCTCTGGTGAGTTCAGGCCAACCTGGTTCACATAGTGAATTCAAAGCTACCCAGGGCTACATAAGGAGACCTTGTCTCAAAAAACCAAAACCAAAAGCCAAAACTGCAGAACTTCCTATTGTACTAGAGGACCTTGGCTTTATTCCCAGCACCCATATTGGGCAGCTCATAACTCCGGGTCCAAGGGAAAAGTCCAGTGTCCCCTATTCTGGCCTCCGTGGTCACAGCACCTGCATTGCATGTGGTGCAATATACATATACACATAAAATGAAATAAATCTTTAAAAAAGAAACAAAGGAAGGACAATATGTCATCCAGCTCTTGCCTGGCCCGTGGCACTAGTTTTGGCCAACTCTGAAGGAGACTTAAGACTAGAAGCTGAGTATCAGGTATAGATGTGGGATACTGTGAGGTTCTGGCCTCCGTCAATGCCACCGTGGAGTCAGGTGACCAAGATGGACTCAATGAGCGGACAGGAGCTTTCCCAAATGCTCTCAAACTACACAGCAACAGCGACAGAATTAGGCACTGTGTGCGTGGGTGTGGGGGACGGGTGGATGCCAGAGGGGCAGCTGCAGCCTCTAGTGTGCTGGCAGGAGAGGGCACAGAGGAGGTGACAGAGCAGGTGACACTCCTAGGCTCCAGGGTTGACAGTCTGGGCCTTTAGGAAGAGACTGCAGTGGATGGAGACCAGAGTCCTGGTTCTGACCAGGAGGTCCTGACGGGCTTTCTAGACACAACACCCAAGGATGCTCTGAGGAGGTGTGGCCAGATTCTGTCACGTGAACATGGGAGCTCAGAGTCAGGCCTTGGGAATCATCACGAAGCTAGGATTCACGTGCACTAGTTCACCAGCTAGTGAGGCTGGGGCGGGAAGGTTCTGTGTACTCTGCCCACACCCCACACCTCTGTACACTCTGTTCACACTCCACACCCCTGCACACTCTGTTCACACCCCCACACCCCTGCACACTGTTCATACCCACACACGCCACATCCCTGCACATACAGACTCTCCTTGTCGCGAAGGGTGGATCATCACCATTTCCCCACTCTGCTCAGATAAAGACAGATAAGTAACGACTGAGACTCAGAATGGTAGCATCAGAACCCGGGGCAGCAAGGGCAGTCTGAGGCCCCCAGGCACTGTGAGTGGTGAAGGCAGACAGCAAAGCAGGCACAGGGACAGAAAGTGTAGATTAGGACCCAGTAGAAAACCTAGCTAATACTGCCAGACACTAAACCTGGGCAATGGACGAACAGGTATGGACTATCTAACGGTGACACGTTCTTACACAGTGTCTGGGAGAGTATGAGGAGACACATCATTGTTCATGTAAACAAGTGACAGGAGCATTTCAAAATGACAACTTACATTTCACAAGCAAAAAGTCCCTGAATTCCTGGTGGTCTGTAAACACCGGTGGGGATGGCAAGGGTGGGCCAAAAAGTGGCACACTTTCTTCTGAAAATATTTTCAGCCTATGTAGAGAACATTCCAGAATTAGTTGGCTCTCTTCTTCAAAGATCACCAATATTTTTGCGAGTCAATGTGTCCAGAGATTTATGTACTATGGCACCTCTGAGCATCCCCTTCCAGGGGAGAGAGACCCAGTCTTTAGGGTTAATCCACTAGCCTAAGGTGGATTAATGGTGCCCTGAACAACCATGCACACTAGGCAGGAAGTCTGGTCTTTAAGGCTTGCTCAACATGCTAGAGGTATTTGTACTCCTTCTACACTGGGTTCATGGTTCCAGGGGGATGAATACTTTCCACAAATCTTTGAAGTCAGTAAAAGACTGAGCTGAGGTTCAAGCCATCTTCCCTAACTGGTGGAAATCGGCATTCCTTTCATGACATCCTTCTAACAGATTAGTGCGGAGCGGAGAAATGTACGGACATGTGGGCAAGGTGTAGTCTAGAAGAAGGGCACGTCGGCCAGGGTCAGACAGAATGACTTCCTTACAAACCCCCAAACTAACCCTGACCCCTGGGCCGCTGGACACAGCACTACTGTATGGAGTGAAACTTTTCCTGAAGAGAGGTGGCTTTGCAGGATATCTAGAAGGTGAGGACATGTCTAATAAGCCATCCAGAGGAAGGCGCATAAAGATTCTCTGAGCGCCACTGCCAACTGGTGAAGCAAATGTCAGGATAAGAACAACAGAGACGAGGTCATCACCTACCTGTAATTGTCATTTTGCTGGTCATACCTCACTAAGGCAAAAATATCTGTGGGGATAGTCAAGGCAATTCATCAGTATCCTTGATGCTCACACCTGACAGCTTGGGCCCTGAAAATCCTTGCTGTAGAAGAGTTCTTGAGCGGGCCTTTCTGTGACTAGGCACCTTCTGCTCTTAGGTTGGGACAGAAAGCCACCTTTTTAGGACAGACAGCCTCGGAGAAGACACATCAGAGCCCCGTGTCTCGGGTTAGCTTCTGTGTGCTCTCCTGCTGGGAAAGGGTTAGATGACTCCCCCAAGGCAGCAGCCAGCAGAACCAAAGGAGCAGTTCCGTTGCCTGGAACCCGAAAGGATCCTGCCATGCATGACTCATGGATTTCATCCACACATTCTGAGATGGGAAAACAATCGCAGTGTTTCTACCGCACACCTTCCCTCTCCTCCTGCTGTGGTAGACAAAACAGCACCAGAGAACAAGCCAAGGCAGCTGGTAGCAGCTTCAAAGCAGAGTCGACTCTGCTTGGGCTGGAGCCCGAAGTGTTCAGAATAGCTCAACTGCTCAGGTGTGGATCAGTGGCAAAGCATTTGCCTAACACGTGGGAGGCCTGGGTTCCATCCAGCACTTAAGAAAAAAGGATAAATGTTATGGGACTTCCATCTCAATATAACTCTTAAAAAAAAAACAAAAACAAACTCAAACAGCACAACCACCTGCACGGAGCAGTTTTTTGCCTGCCCTGCCCTCCTTTCTCATGGCCAGCCCTGCTGCTATTTAGGGCTGAAGCCAGCAGCCTCGGGTACTCACTCCTGCGCTCCGTGAGATGAACTCATATTAACTCTCTTTTGGTTCTTTTTAGAATCCCATGTGTCAAGTCCAGTGTGGAGAATCTCTGACACCACAAATCCCCGTCTTCCCTGCTCCACTCAGAGAACTTTTCTGTCAGGCAAGAAAAATCACCATAAAACCGGGAACTGTTAGTGCCAGACAATGAATGGGGGCACCAGGGCGTAAGCAGGGTGAGCAAAGACACTCACATGGGCTGGCTTCCACCTACTTGTCATCTCCTACCCTGGGGAAGAAATCTAGCCATTTCTACTTTTAAACATTTCCTTGCAAGTCCAGTTTCAGGAGACGGTCAGAATATAGGGAGCAGCGTCACCCACAGACATAGGAGGCACAGGACCCTGTTTCCGGGTAGAGGTGTGGTGAGGTCAGGCTTCATTCTGAAAATGCTACTGCATGTTCTTTACTTACTGTGGCTAACCTACCGAGTCACCACCTTTGAGTTCTGCTCTCATGGTCTGTGAGCATGGCAAGTGAACAATGGCTAAAGTCTGCTGGCAGACCAGGATGAGAAACACATGCCCTGGGGTTGCCTGGCTGAGCACTGAGGTCACTCCCCCATCATGCCCTGGGGCTTCCTGGCTGAGCACTGGTGAGGTCACCCCTCCCCATCATGCCCTGGGGCTCCTGGCTGAGCACTGGTGAGGTCACCCCTCCCCATCATGCCCTGGGGCTGCCTGGCTGAGCACTGGTGAGGTCACCACTTCCCATCATGCCCTGGGGCTGCCTGGCTGAGCACTGGTGAGGTCACCCCTTCCCATCATGCCCTGGGGTTGCCTGGCTGAGTTTTGCTGAGGTCACCCCTTCCCATCATGCCCTGGGGTTGTCTGGCTGAGCACTGAGGTCATCCCTCCATTTACAGACAGTCTGAGCTGAGCAGGACTAGGTAAAGTGAATAACATCATGAATTCAACCATGTCTCATCCTTCAGTTTAGCAGCTACCATCAGAGCTTAGAGTAAATTCTCTCTCTCTCTCTCTCTCTCTCTCTCTCTCTCTCTCTCTTTTTGAGACAGGGTTTTTGTGTGTAGCTTTGGAGCCTCTCTTGGAACTCGCTCTGTAGACCAGGCTGGCCTGGAACTCACAGAGATCCACCTACCTCTGCCTCCTAACTGCTGGGATTAAAGGTGTGCGCCACCACCCAGCATTAGAATAATTTTTCATGGTGACCCTTCTGCCTCAGCCTCTTGAGTGCTATTATTATGGGTATGAGCAGCATGCCCAGATATTTTTTTCATATTTGAGACTAGATTTTGCTATGTATACCCTCCTGCCCAGGCCTTAAGTGTGGGGGACTTTTGTACTTGAGGTCAACTGCCCGGAGGATCCACTACTTATTCTCAGATTCATTCATGACCAGTGGATAAGGGGATGCTCCCATCATTTCAGAGACTTTCTGAGAAAAGGGAAGACATTTTGGAAGTTAAAGCTGGGTGTGGTGGCATGTGTTTGTGGTCTTAGCACTTAGAGGTCGGAGGCAGGGAGGCTAAGTTCTAGACTCCCTGAGGGTTAGCTGTGGAATATTCTTCTGCCCATGGCATGGCTGATGGGCTCAGGAACATAGCCATAGTGGCTACCTGCCCAAGACTAGGCCATGACCATTCTACTGTGGACAGGGAGGGATTCATGAGGCCCTACCTCTTCCCTGAAGAGCTGGAGGCAGTTAACAGTGGCTGGGATACAGAGTCCTAGCCTCAGTGGTGAAGCTGCTGGTAAGCTGCCTTTGCTCAAATATATAACCGTTTCCCAATGCTTATGCAAGCAGGGCATGACCAAGGTCATATGTGTGACAACCCTGAGAAAGTCAGGGTAGGACCGAGAATTACTCCCCACCACTGCAGAGGTGGGGAAGAGTTTGGAGAAGGACTGCAGTGCTTAGGCAAAAATTCCCCAACAATGCGTCAGGCTGGCCACCCCGGACGCGTCTGTCACCAAGGTCTGGTGAGGCTGCTGAGCTGGAGCACTTATGCAGGCCCAGGATACGTGTAAAATGGGAGCGGATCATTGAAGGCTTAAAGGCGGGAGAAGATTCCTCTCCTTCCTGGAACACGATGGTGACGATATCGTTTCCGATGTGGCGTTTCCTTTCCACCTGTCAGGAGCATAAATGACGGGGTGAGAAGAGCTGCTCCCCCAGGGCACACTCAGGTAAAGCGCACTGCAGCAAGCCGCCACAGCCCCACCCCGCTATGCCCTGACAAACTGTCTGGGTGACTCTCCCAGTGAGGCTTCTTCATTTCCTCTGGCCACCCTCAGCTAATGCCCCCTTGCCAGCCTCAGGACCTCCATTCCCAACAAACATTACTGCTTCTATCATGTTTAACAGGCTTCCTCATCCCCAGAGCTGTATTTGAGGTCCAAACAAGAGCACAGGAAGCCTACATGACAGTGTCTGGGAGAGCACACACGTATACCGGGGCTTCAAGCAGGCTATTGTGTGCCCTGCCACTGATCTACACTACCAGCTCACCTTAGTAATTTGCACATTCATACTTGGTGACAAAACGTCTCTACAGAATTTGATCTCATGTAGACAAACATGCATACATACATACACACATACAAACAGATTAAATTAGTCAGTCACAAATAAGTAAACAAAAGGGTAATCAGCTTTCTCGCATTCCTCTCAGAACCTATGCTTTTGGGAGGCCTGAGCCAGTGGAGAAGTGTTGATGAGGAACCACTGAGAGGCCTTGGGAAGCCTTTAGACTCCATGCTGTGGGGAAGGGAGGCTCTGCCAACGTCCCTGTCAAGCCTCTATTCCATACCATAAACTCCTGGAGCATAGACTGACCAGCCTGGAGGAATGACTCAGTGATTAAGGGTACTGCTTGCGCTACCAATTGAACCAGTGTGTATGTGTGTGTATATGTGCATCTTTGTATATATTGTGTAGATATGTGTGCATTTATGTATTGTAGTGATATTTCATTTGTATTTAATAAAGCTTGCCTGAAGATCAGAGAGTAAAAGAGCTGCTCTGGTCAGCCTTACAGACCAGGCAAAGGTGACACACACCTTCAATCCCAGTATACACACTAATTTGCCATAGAAACAAGGCAGTGGTGGTGCATGCCTTTAATCCCAGCACTAGAGAGGAATATAAGAGGAGGAGACAGCTATCACAGTCTCATTCTGAAATTCCTGGAGGCAGGGTTACCATTTCAGACTGAGGTAGAGGTAACAGCCAGTGGCTGGCTGCTTTGCTTTTCTGACCTTCAGGTTGAACCCCAATTATCTGTCTCTGGGTTTTTATTAATTGTGCTATAACTGCTTTTGCAGGGGACCTGAGATCAATTCTCAGCACTGATATTAGGCTGCACACAGTAGACTGTAATTCCAGTTACAGGGAATTGGATAACCTCTTCTTGCCTCTGAGGGTACCTCATGTGGTACACAGACACATACAGGCAAAACACCCCCACACACAAGAGTTTAAAAGTAAGGAAGCACTCTCGCTCTCCAGAAGCAGGGAAGAAGATCAAGAGTTCAAGGCCAGCTTCAGTTACACAGTGAGTTCTAGGTTAATCTGAGCTGCATGTGACGGTGTCTCTAAAAACAAAAGTAACAACAGGGATGAAGAGAGACCTCAGTGGCTAACTGGGCATGCTGCTCCTGCAGAGAACTGAGGTTGCGTTCCCAGCACCAATGCCTGTGGCTCATAACAACCTGCGTTTCCACCTCCAGGGGATCTGATGCTCTCTTTTGGTCTCTATGTGTGCTGCACTATGTGTGCAAACATAATCAAAAAAAAATTAAAGCAAACAAAAAGGAATGAATCAGTCATATACACTATAACACAACCCTTAAAAATAAGGAGACCACTAGATGCCAGTTTCTAAAGACCATATATTGGGCTGGAGAGATGGCTCAGAGGTTAAAAACACTGTCTGCTCTTGAAGTTCAGTTCCTAGTAGCTCACAGCCATCTGTCACTTCAGTTCATTGGATCTGGCATGGGCTCCATTGTGGACTCCTGCATGCACATGGTACACTTATATTCAGGCGCGCACACACACACACACACACACACACACGGTGTACATACATACAAACAGGCAAAACACTTACACACATTTAAAACAAACCAAACTCCAGCAGCCCACATCTTTGTTGTATCTAAATTCCAATAAGTTGGAAATTTTTTCCTAAAAGCGGCCAGCCTCTAGGTGGGTAAGGAGAACTCTGGGGGACATTCCCGGCATGGCCAGTCCATGCGGACACTCAAGGTTAACTTCAACATCAGTCTGAAAGCCACTTTTAACACCACATAACCATCTATCTTAGAACTCCTCTTGATGTGATAAACACAATCGACCAAAATCAACTCGGGGAGGAAAGGGTTTATTTCGGCTTACAGCAGCCACACTCCACCATCTGAGGAAGTCAGGCAGGAGCTGATGCACAGGCCATGGAGGAGCGCTTCTTACTGGCTTGTCCCATGCCTTGCTCAGTCTGTGTTTTTTTTTTTTTTTTTTTTTTTTTTGTTGTTTGCTTGTTTTATTTCTTGAGACAGGGTTTCTCTGTGTTGCCCGACTGTCCTGGAACTTTCTCTGTAGACTAGGTTGACCTCTGTCTCCTGAGTGCTGGGATTTAAGGAGTGTGCCACCACCTCACGGCTACAGCACCTTATAGCACCCAGGACCACCAGCCCAGGGATGGCACCACCCAATGGGTTGGGCCTTCCCACATCAATTATCAATTTAAAAAATGCACCACAGGCCACTCTGGTGAGAGTATTTTCTGAATTGAGGTTCCCTCCTCCCAAGTGACTCTAGTTTGTGCCGGGTTGATAGAAACTAGCCAGCTCATGAAATAGAACTTATTTCATGCTCTAGAATCTCATTCTGACAAGGCCAAAGGCACGCTGAGCGAAGCCACATTGTGAAGGCATGTTACACACAGGATACTCTGTAAGGCTTCTTGTGATTTGAGCAGGTCTCCCAGTTACATGTGCTAGAAGCCTGGCTCCCAGCATGGTGTTGCTATGGGGTGGTGGTGGTGGTGTTTTGAGAGGCGGGGCCTGGTAGGTGGTGATGAGGTCTTGGGAGGGGTTAATGCTTTTCTCGTGGGAGTTCATTTTTGCTCACTTGGGTCTGTCTGGAACCTAGCCTGGATTTCTCATGCTTCTTCTTTGCCATGCAATTTCTTCTACATCTGCACCAACATGACAACACCATGAGTATCTCACTAAAGCCCAGTAAGCATCAGTGTTCTCAAAGCTACATGACTCTGAGCAGAACGAACCTCTTTTCTTTATAAAGTACCCAGTCCTCAAGTATTTGGTTATGGCAACACAACATAGACTAGTAAGTCTTTAAAACCACAGTCACACATGTACAAGTACATGTATGTGTACACCATACGCTCACTAGCATCTCTGACCCTTCTTTAGATGATAGAGGCAGTAACAATATGCTTCCTAAGCCTTGTTCGCCATTCACACACACATTATAAAAAGTGTCAGAACTGGCCCTGGTAACTGAAGCCAGGCTCACAGTAACACACCTAGTCTCTAATTTATAAATCATTGCAATGGTCACCCCACACTCAGTCACTGTCTGACGGCTGTGTTTTCAAAGCCCCTGTGGTCACAAGTACCTGCTGTCTGTTCTCTTTGGAATACGGCAACATGGTGGAAACGTGAAACATGACCTCATGCCCTTGGTACACAGTATAGACTGAGTGGCTCCCTGTGGTGTTATCTGTAAAACCAAAGAACGCAGTCAGTGGGCATACAGAAGAAGGCGTGCAGTGCACAGTCCCCATGGTGTTATCTGTAAAACACAAGAACACAGTCAGTGGGCATACAGAAGAAGGGTGCAGTGCACAGTACATTCTCAAAGACCACTTGGGTTCATCTGTGCTGGTGAGCAGGAGTAGATCACCTGAATGCCAACTCTGCCCTTCCCTCGAGGCTCCTGCCCATGAGGAAAGACCTCACTCACATTCTCTAAGCTCCCTGCTGCCTATCTAGCTTGTATTACAGGAAGTCAGGAAAAGTCTGGCTAGTAAGGGAGAGCAGGCTGCAGCACCCCTTTCCTGCGGCTGTGGGGTAAGGGGTACAATTCTCCCATGCTGATGTGGCTGTGACGCCCACAAAATCAAGTTGAGGTTTCTGAAGATCTGTGCTTGATTAAAGGCATAGGCTCTGAAGTTAGGTGGACTAGGACCTGAGTTTTCATTGGATGTATTGCTCCCGTGCCCCTCCCTAGAATTAAGGCTTTATCACTTTTTGTGACTCAATTTTTAGAACTATGTTACTTTGTGTTCATATGTGTGCATATGTGTGGGAGTCCAAAGGTCCATGTCCAGTGTCTTCTTCAATTGCTCTCTACTGGATCTTTTCTCAAAGTCTGGCTGTGGATTTAAAGCCAGTATATCAGTTATCTATTGCTGTATAAGCTATCCCTAAACTTGGTGGATTAAATCAATGACTAACACTTAGTTTTAAAGATTTACGTATTTTTAATGTTTTTTTGTTGTTGTTGTTTTGTTTTTCGAGACAGGGTTTCTCTGTAGCATTGGAGCCTGTCCTGGAACTAGCTCAGTAGACCAGGTTGGTCTCGAACTCAAAGAGATCCGCCTGCCTCTGTCTCCCGAGTGCTGGGATTAAAGGCGTGCAGCCCGGCTGATTTACATATTTTTATGTGTTTGAGTGTTTTGCCTACATGTATATTTGTGCGCCAAGAATTTACAGTGCCCATGGGGTCCAAAAGAGGGTATCAGATCTCCTAGAACTGGAGTTTCTCTGATCCTGGTTTTTTTTTTTTTTTTTTTTTGGAACAAGACAAGGATGTCCACTCTCTCCATACCTCTTCAATATAGTGCTTGAAGTTCTAGCAATAAGACAACATAAGGGGATCAAGGGATTCGTATTGGAAAGGAAGAAGTTAAGCTTTCGTTATTTGCAGATGATATGATAGTATATATAAGCGACCCCAAAAACTCTACCAAAGAACTCCTACAGCTGATAAACACCTTTAGTAATGTGGCAGGATACAAGATCAACTCCAAAAAATCAGTTGCCTTCCTATACACT